ATACCTCAGTTGTGTTACATGTCTTTAAATATACAAAATAAGCTGCAGAAAATCAAACACTGCAGCTTTCCATATGTATTGCCTCTTAACGTCAAGAAAACAAAAATTCTTACCACTGGATTCATAGGTGACATCATGATAGATTGAGAAAAAGATTGGAACTGTCAATGACTTCATCTTTCTTAGTTCCACAGTAACTACAGTTGGCCCTAGCAATCAGATCAGGACACATTGTGTGCTGGGAAAGGTCTGGCGTCAGGGAATTCTCCAGATTACTGAGGAGCAATGATGTCAGTTTGAGAGCTAAGATGCAACTGATTCAGACCATGGTTTCAGTCATTTGCTATGCATCTCAGTAAGCTAGTCAGTGAATAAGGATAGAGGAAAATTGATGCCTTTGAGTTGGGGTGTTGGAGGGGGGAGTACTGAATATTCCACGGACCGCCCAGAGAACAAACAGAGAAGGTGAAGCTAGATTGCTCCTTGGAAGCGGAGATAGTGAAGCTTTGTCTCCCATTCTCCGGGCATGAAGCTAGAAGAGTCTGGTCATTAGGGAAGGACATGCTTGGAAAGGTGGAGAGATGTGAGAGAGGAAAACACCCAATTAGGTGAATTCACACGGTGACTATGGCAATGATCTCAAGTGTGCCAGAGATTATAAGGTTGGCACAGGACAGGCCAGGGCTCCGATCTGTTATTTATTGTCAGTAGGAGTTGACTCGATGGCACCTAATAATAAATAAATATACTAAATATATTTACTTTTTGTTTGTGTCTGAAAATACCAATGTCTGTGTGTGTATTGTTGGTTTTCTACTGTGTCTGCTGACTCTCACTCAGTCACTTTCTGCCTCTTTGTTTTTCTGTTTTCTGGTGTGGTGTATGTATACTTCTGGCAGGCAACTGGAAGTATGACCAACTAGGGTGCATTTTAAGTAACTGGATTGGGCATTTAAAAATCATAAATGTGAATTTTTGTAAGAATACACATGTTAAAATGTAGAAACAATGTGGGTTTTGGCCTCAAACCAGTAAGGAGAAGCTGCAGTCTGCTGATTTCTAACACTTTCCTCCCATCTGTAGTCAGAGCCAAGACTAGATAGACGCGCTTCCTAATATTCTCACTCATTTGTTCAGCATTCTAGTTGGGATTTAAATGTGTTTACCTATTTAACTTTGCACAGTTTTCAGTATTTGTACTGCAAGTCTATTTTAGAGTATTTGTCTGTTATTAGTGGATGAGTCTCCTTTCCTTCATCTGGAAAATGATAAGGATCTACCATGAAGTTTTTTCTGAGGATTGAAATAATGCATAAATCGGTGCCTTGAATTTAACATCTGAATCAAATCCTTAATTGAAGTAGCAGGTAAACTGCTGCTACTCAGCTGCTGTTTTGTTCCATAGTGGAAACTTCTGCCTAGGGTTTGTCTCCTAGATGATTTCCTCTGAGGAGTTACTGCCCCACAAATCTCTCTAACTGACCAATCTCAAAGGAAAGGACACTTTGATATAAAGTCTCATGAGGAGGAGGAAAGTTACACGTGGGGGGGGCTCGAGTCTGACAGTGGCCTGATTGGCAGGTGCAGCTGGCGAGACCATGTTGCCTTGTGAGTTTTGTGAGGAGCTCTACCCGGAGGAGCTGCTGATCGACCATCAGGTGCGTTCTTGTTCCTCCAGGGTTTTTAGTAGATTGGGTGCAGGCTGCGCTGGGTCAGACACTGTCGCTGCAGCACCTGTGGTGGGACCAGCAACTCTGCTTCTATCCTGTGTGACCGTGGGTGTGAGAAACGGCTTCATTAAAAGCTGTGCAGTTCCCTGCCAGGGTCATCTGCTTCCATAAAGGTTAAAGCCTCGGAACCCTGTGGGGCAGGTCTGCTGTGTGGGAATTGCACAGCACTCGCTTGGCTTTGGTTCTGGACGCTCAGGGATCTAGTGTGCATGATTCTCTGCCTAGAGGGTGTGTGGCCTTCTGCCCTTCCGCCTCCATGCTTCAAAGGACCTGTCCTTTCCAGACCTCTTTTTTTTTTTAAATTTTTGTGTGCATGTACCGTCAAATCAGAGCTGACATGTACAGGAGGAGATTGTCCTCCTTCTTCGGCAGAGCATCTGGTGGATTTGAACTGTGCGCCTCTGGGCTTGTAGGTGCAGCTCCTTGCCACTAGGCCACCAGAGCTCCCCTTCCAGACCTCTTTGACACCCTTCTTTCAGGAGCTTTTCTGGTGGGGCACACTCGTGGCCAAGTCAGAGCGTATGCTTCCCAAACGCCCTTTACTTGCACTCAGATATTTTGAAATCTTTATGATCTTTTTTTCTAGAAAATTGGTGTGGGTTTTTTTTTTTAATTTTATTTTGTGTGTGTGTGTGTGTGTGTGTGCGCGCGTATGTGTACCGTCAAATGAGATCTGACTGGTACAGGAGGAGATTGTTCCTCCTTCTGCAGCAGAGCATCTGGTGTATTTGAACCGTGCACCTCTGGGATTGCAGTACACCTTTCTGCCACTAGGCCACCAGAGCTCGCCTAGAAAATTTTCAGGCATGTAATTTTCACCCTTAACCAGTGCTTGCTTGCTCTCTTACTTTTTTTTTTTACCCTGTTCTTTTTGAATGACAGACAAGCTGTAACCCTTCATGTGCCTTACCACCACCACTTACCATGGGCAGCTCTTCCCCCAAAGCCACAGTGGTGGAGGACTCTGATGTAATTTTTCAGAAGTTTCTGCAGCAGGCTAACAACTTAGACTCTTTCATGGGCCTCACGCGCTTACCCACCGTGGAAGACAGCATCATTATTCCATGTGAATTCTGTGGGGTGCAGTTGGAAGAGGAGGTACTATTCCATCACCAGGTAAGACTCCTGTCCACTTGACCCTCTGCTGCCCTCCTGGGAACCTAAGGCTGTCAGAACTGAGAAGACCTCTTGAGCCTTTAAATTTCATTCCTATCTCATTTGGGCTTCATGCACCTGTTTCTGCCCTGGTCAGTCTTATGAGCCCCCTCATCCAGGCTGACAAGAGTTTCTCTCTCCCCTTTGGCAGCAGGAACTGTCACATCACATCACAGGATTAAAAGCTTTTGCTTGAGTAGCATGGTGGGTTGGAGAGGAGCTGTTCTTCTGTGGTGAGGCCACTGGAGCCTTCTATTCCAGAAGGCCTGGCAGGGGAGGTCCAGTCCTTGGGCAGGCCCAGTCTGTGGACATCTGTAGATGGAGATGCATTCTCCCTCTAGCTACTTGTCCATTTTTCCAGCTTTGTTTCTCACATGTCATACTAGCATGAAAAGTCTCTTCACAGTCATTTCTCTTAAGAGCCATTGCTTTCAACTTGCAGTGAATGAAGCATTGCCCATCCTGCAGTCCATGCTGTGTCAGTCCTCCTTGTTGAGGGTCTTCCTTTTTCACTGGCCCTCTGCTTTACTTAGCAGGATGCCATTTCTCTAGGTGATGCAGTACAGCTGTGGGTAGAACACTACATTTCATTTTTGGAAACAAGTGCTGTCTCCTAGGGTTGACAGAAGCAACCATGCATAGCTCTGTGGTCAGAATAAAAAAATGCTCTTCTGGGCTTCCAAGGCCAGCCCACCCTTCTAGCTCAGAGCAGAAAGTACTGGCTCCGGTGTTCACAGAAATGATCACTGGTACTTTCAGAGCTGCCCCAAACCCCCAGGGCCTCTTCTCAGGTGGTGGCTACTTCCTCCAGGTAAGGAAAGGGGGTGCTTACCTGGCTCCCTCCCTATGGAATGGCTCAGTGCTCAGGTACTAATTGTGGATTTTCTTGTCAGGACCAGTGTGATCAGCGCCCAGCCACTGCCAACACCTGTGTGATGGAAGGCTTTCTAAGACAGGACTCCCAGTCCCGAGACATCTCGCCAGAGCTGCCCCGGAGGCGTGTCAAACACCAGGGTATTAGCCAGGGCCTGGCCTGGCCTCAGATACACTACTTGCCAGTTGTCATCCAAACCTACTTGTGGGGGCTGCTTGAAGCCCACACTGTCGAGTCCAGGGACATGTTATTCTGTGGCTTCTTGCAGGCCATGCTAGGCTGAGCTGCAGGTATAGCTGAGTGAGTTTACAGGGCCACGTGACTGGTAATCTGTGCTGAGGCCCCTGCCTGCCCTTCATGGGTTGTTGAGCGGGAACCTGCAGGTCTGAGTGTGGCTCTCCTGGGCCTTGCTCCTCACTGATGGTGAGGGCAGAACCACAACTGGACAGCCCTGCCTGCTTTTTCTGGGTCCTTGACAGATTTCTACCTTGAACAGGGTGCATCTTTTAGTGGTGCTCTGACAGGTTTCCCACTTTACACATGTTCCGGCTGTCCAGAGTTTCATTGTGTATGCTTAGGGCACTCAGACTTACTTGTGGTTTTAGTTAAGGGCCTCATGACTAGGCACTTAAACCTTTAAAAGCTTTATCATTACACAGCCCTTTAGAAATTCCAAGCTTGATTGTACACTATTGGTTCCCAGCTTACATTCCGGATAGGCAGCTGTACCTAAGTGTGCCATGGATAGAACGTCCCCAGCTTTGTTGTGGGGTTCTGTCCCATACCCTATTGCTCCTGCCCTAATTCCAGCTCCAGTATCTTACTTTCTTCTCAGGAGACCTGCCTTCCAGCTACATGGATGACATCAAGCAGGAAGAAGCTAAAGGGCCCACCTGCCCTCTGCCTCCCAGCAGACCGCTGAACAATATGCTTGCTACCTGTAACCGACTGTCCAAGGCACCATCAGGCTCCAGGCCTGGATGCCAGCCCAGCCCTCCTCGAGTACTGAAGCTCAGCAACCCTGACAGCCCAGATGTCCAGGGACGGATTCAGAACAGCCCTAACATGGCTCTGGTTCCTGATCACCTTTCAGCAAATCACTCTGCTCGAAATGGCCCAGAAACCCTTGCGCCCTCCTTCCCCCATGGGCCTGTAGGGAGACATGGAGCAAGGTGAGAATCAGCAGCCTGGGTGTAGAGCTGAGTGCAGTGAAGGGCCAGAGGCCTGGACCAAAGGTCTAGTGCCCTCGGCCCTGCAGGGAGGAACTGGGCTTCCCTGGGATGCTGGTCTTCTGGCACCAGTGTTATTTCCATAGATTGTTCTGGCTGTGCTAGGGCATCTTAAGAACTGTGTTCATTCCTCTTTTTTCAGTGGGAGGAGTGAGGGCAGCAGGAGCTCCCGGCTCACCCCCACGGCTGTCAGCTACCGTAACAGAACCACAAAGGTAACTGGATCCAGCCCAGAATGTGCTGGGTGGGGTTGGGGGGGCTCCTGAAAGCAGAGAAGGGGTTGCTCTGGCTGCAGGACTTTGCTCTTGACTTTTGATGAGGGAAGGAGTCTGAGAAGCCTGTGTGTGGCTGGCTGCTAACTGAAATGCCACGTAGGAGGCGGTGTCTGCTTCTGCATATTCAGCCTTTGGAGCCCCTGTCGGCTGGTTGGGGAGGAGCACTCTCTGGCTGGTGCTATGTTTGTTTGTGTTCTGGGGTTCCACAGGCTAAGAGCCCCAAGCAGTCAGGTGCGGGAGATGCAGAAGAAGAGGAGTGAGGCCCTCTGAGCCCCCGTGGTCCTGCCTGTGGACAGCATCACTTGGCGCAGTTCAGCCCTGCCTCTTAGGGCAGAGATTTTACCTTTTTCTAGGTCATGTGGCCACTTTGTGTCTTTGAGATTGTGCTGTGGGAGTTTGGGGTTTCAGGGAGGGTTAGTGGGAAGGCTGTTGAAACATTTTCTGCTTTAGCTGCCACTTGGCAGCAGTTCTTGCCCCTCGACCCACCAGGGCTCTACCTTTGACATCAGGTCACTGCTGCTTTTTGGTGCTGTGTGGTCTGAGGGCAACAAGGGTTCTGGAAGCCTGGGACCCATCTGTGATGGGAGTCTCTTCAATGTAGAGGCTTTGGGAGGAACTTCCTGTTTACACTGTCCCTTCCCACCCTAGAAGTTGGGCAGAGTGCTGGCAGTGTCCAAACTGGTTGCTACGTTTGAGTTAGAAACCAGACTTTGGGGGGGGGGGGGCGGAGCTGAACTAGGTGCATGGCCCAGGGTCTTTGTTTTAAGCTGCTTTCCTGGCATTGGCATCACTGCTTTGGGGTCCTGGTGGAGAGCCCCCTAGTGGGGAAGGCTGGCTCTGCCCTGAGGATGGAGGCCTCCGCACCCCTCTTTTTTGACTATTATTCTTACACAACTTCCGTGTAATAGAAATAAAATTTGTACTTGGAGTTTCTCTGCGTCCCTGGATTGATTCTTTGTTTGCACCCAGTGGAGACTCGGGCGTGGGCAAGCTGACCCTACTGTTAGGGTTTCCAGTTAGCACCTCAGCATAAGCTGCTCCCCTGAGGCCAACATTTAGGGTGAAGTTTCTCTTCTCTTGGATGGGAATCTTGGGGAGACGGATGGTTTGCAGCAGGTCTAGGGGTGACCGGGAGGGGAAGGAGCCCTGCCAGATGGAGTGAGAGCCTCAGAAGCCACAGCCTTTGGTGCCTTACTTAGGCCTCTTCCCCCCAGTGTTGCACGGCTTGCACAGGCCAGCTAACACTTGTGCCATTTTGGGCTTGTGCCCCATTTCCAACACCCTGAAATCACAGAAAAGGGAGGGAAGTTGTCCTACATTTGAGAGTGTCCTTACTCCTCCTCAATAAAGACAGTCTGCCACTAAAAGTTAGCATTTATTACACAGGAACGGTGGGGTTGGGGTGCACTTCCACAGAGTTGTGTTTGTCTAAGTTTGCTGTCTGCTCTGTTTTGACTCTCATAACCTACAGGATGCACAGTGGCCCTTACGGTTCCAAAGCTGTCATCTTACAGGAGCAGCTCTCCAAGGTCCACCCAAGTGGTGACGAGTGAGCCTCAGAGTGTGAGCTGAGTTCTTCTAAATGCCCTTAGAGCTCCCCGCGAGTACGCTGGCCTTCAGAGCTGTCTAAACTGACCGCCAGCACCCAAGGAAGACACAAAGAAATCCCTGAGCCAGAGCACACAGTCCAGCTGCCACGATGGGAGATGGAGGTTAACCTTTGACCTTAGGTTTTTCACAAGAAAAGCATAGTCTTCCAGGGTGCGGTAGAGGCTAAGGTAGTTTGTGAGCCGGGTGGATTCAGAACCATGTCATGTGCAAAGACCAGAACCATTGGCAACACTTTGATTCCCAGCCATGTGGTGGTGCACAAGTCCCAGTGCTGTCAGTAAAGCCCCTGCCCTTTACGCAGCCAGAGGCCAGCACACATGCTGAAGGTGAATCAGAATTAGATGAAGGTTATTTATTGGTGCCACTTTCCTCCTGTAGTGAGCCTCCTTTACACAGCAGTGGTGTAAATAGCATCAAACTGAATGAAAAGTTTGTTAAATGCAACCATAAATAATTATAATAAATATACATCAAGTAACTTTACAGCACACGTGTTTTAGGGCCAAGGCTGGGCTCTGTCTGGACCTCATGTGCTCTCTGGGACAAGCAGTCATGTTAGCAGCAGATATCACAGCTATCACCTGATCAAGTGATGGGCCGACAGGAGCTCCCCAAACCCCTCTTGGGGAGGTAGCTGACAAATTTTCACGTCCGTTCAGGAATAGGAAGGATTGGAGGGTACCAAGGATTTAGGATGAAGGGAAGAGTACAGTAGCCACTTGGAATAAACATAAAGGCTCTTTCATTATGCAGAAATGAAGTACAAGGATCCTTGTCAGGAACACATCCTGATGTGCCCTTCTCAGCGACCCTGTCTAGGGGGCTGTGGCCTGCGGAGGCGACTTCTCCCAATGCAGTGGTTTTGCTTCTTGCTCTCACTTCGACGGCCAGCCTGATGCCACACCACCACCTTGGCCCAGAGCGAGCGAGCGAGCTCTTTACACCATAGTCCTCAATGCACTTCCTAAGGATGGCAGGGAGGGGATGGGTGTTCCCAGCAGGCCAGGGCCACAGCACAGATGGGCAGTCCTCTCCCTCACCAGCCCACACTCAACGTCCACTATTCACAATATCTTACAATAAATACAGCAATGCGATTCAGTGAGACTGGTGAGGCCCAAAATGTCTGAAAGTGTCCAAAAAGATGCCGTGTGCTGCTCATGAACAAAGGGCCACTGGACAAGGCTGGTTTGGGGCACAAATGCACTGGGCAGCTCAGTCCTGACACACACATGGGAGGAGGGGAAGGAGCTGGGTGGGGCCACCTGTACCCCCTGGGATCTCTGGAAAGTCTGAGCACAACTTTCTGAATGGACCTGGTCAGAGTGGTCCTCTGCTCCCCAGGGTGTCGGTGCTGATGCTATGGGTGGGCTGAGCCATGTGGGGTACAAAAGCCACTGTCCCTCCAAGTGCTGGAGTGAGGGTGCACACAGCATGACTCCACAAGCAGCTCAGGTCCCAAAAGACCCTCTGGGCGCCTCCTCCATGAACCCTTCAGACCAGGGGCTAGAGTGTCAGAGCATACAGACTGCCGGGGTTGGGAAGGGGTCTCTCCTCAGGACAACATTCTCCAGTGGGAGGACTTAACACATAAGGCCCCACGTGTGTGTCTAGTGTCGGGGTGACCAGTGTCACCACTCCCAGGCCATGGGCAGGCACAACCTGGTCTTTGGAGTGGAGGTGTCCGCCTGTCTGTGGTCACCTCACCAGCCTCCAGCTCAGTTCTCTGACGAGGACCTGTGGGGCCCTGACATGAGAATCCAGAGGCCACGAGGACTGTCCTGGAAGGTCAAACTCGACACACACTGTCTGGGAACTAAACTATCCTACAAATACACCACAAACAGGCAGCAAAAGAACCAACCCATCACAAAACGCATGGATACAGAAGGTTAAGTCTTCCCCAAGGCCCTGGGACATGGACCAAAGTTGAGAAAAGCAAACTCCTTGCTTGGGCAGGGCCACGGAGGGTTGCTCCGTGAGGCAGGCTCCCCGAGTTGTGGAGCTGATGCCGAGGTGACCGCTGACCTGGGGCTCCTCCTGTCAGCCACTTAGGGGGTCTTCCCGGTAGTGAATGGCACAGCGCAGCTTCTCCAGCATGATCTCCAGTGAGGAGTACTGGGGCAGTTTGATCATGAACATGCAGGTCTCCACGCGGATGTAGCGAGAGTCTGGGGAGCCTACAGGAAGGAGGTCACGTGCAGGTCGGCACCCTGAGCACCCAGGTGGATGCCTCTCAGGCCTGCCTCTGACCCTCAGGGCCCAGCAGGAGCAGAATGAGGGACTGCTTAGCTGGGGAGGGGTGGGAAAAAACCAGACAAATGGCAAATGAAGTGGGTTGAGCCTGACAGTAAGGTGAGTATGTGGGTCAGCAAAATGGTGCTGGGTGCTTTTTACAAATGGAATTATTTTCCATATTTAAAAGATGTTGGCACTTAGAAGTTTTACAATGAAGAGCTTTGTCAACACTGAGACTGTTTCCAGCTTGGAAGGTGGGATGTGCGGGGGGGGCGTGGGGACGGACACGGACGGACGGACTATGCTCCCTGGTTCACATGGCCCTTTCCCTCTCTGTCTCTGGATGTCCCTGCTCCCCGCAGCCACCCCCATTGGGAGGCAGTACCTGCTGTGCCGTCTGGTGGCGCGATCTTCATGGGGTATGGGGGCACATGGGCCGTGTCGGGGCCCCCGTCCTTGCAGGGGCAGGTGAACGGAATGCGCTCCTGATTGCAGGCGAACTTGATGAACTTGCATAGCTCTTCCTGGGCGAACGTCTCCAGCGCACCCCAGAAGAACTCAATGTGCTGGTCTGTTTCCATCAGGCCCACCTGGTACATGGTGTGGGCCTGCAGGCGCCGAGGAGAGTGGCTCCTGAGCTCCTACCCTGGGTGGGACTGGCCCACCCATAGAGTTTGGAGAGGGGGTCACACTGAGGCTGCCTCAGGGGATGGTCATGCACTACTGTGTGACTCTGTGTGATCTGTGTGCTGGGCCCCCAGACCTACTATCTCAACCCTCTGCGGCAGATCTGTGCAGGGTGCCCATTGAAGGTGATGCGCCTGAGTAGGGCCCCTCTGCCGGCCAGGAGCCACGCCAGAGGGCCAGGGCTGGGCTGGGTGAGGAGAGCACGGGGTGCTGGATGGGGGCAATGGCTTCCCTCCGGGTAGTGGCCTCAGGCCTGAGCTCTGGAGGCAGGCAGCCTGTCCTGGTTCAGTCTCACTCCACCAACCCTGGCCACAGGTCCCTGGCCTAGGACTTCTAATCACCTTGCCCACCTACCTTGAGAAACTCGAGGTTGATGTAGGGGAGCCCGCAGGTGCGCAGCTCCATCTCCAGTGGGCTCAGTGTGGTGAGCAGCTGCAGTGGGATGATGGAGCCTAGGCCGGCCCGCACAGCCGTCATGCACTCCACGTTCTGCAGCTCGCGAAGCCGCAGGCTCCGGATGGCAGCTGCATAGATGTCCTTGTTCTCCCACCTGCTGGGCGAGGGGCCAGGTGAGTGGATCCTGGAGGGGGGCATTGGGGTGCACCTTGTCTGGACCCTCTCAGCAGCTCTACCCCTGCCACCGCCTCCGGGGGGGGGCGGTTTGGCAATGCCCCTCAGATGAGGCTGCCCCATTGTTCTTGCTGCCTCCCATTGGTGTAGTCAGGCTGCTGTCATCTGACTTAGCCCCTCAGGCTGCTGCCCACATCCTTGCCCATCCCTGGGCACAGGGGTCAGCCCTGTCCGAGTACTCACGCCACGGGAATGTGCCGGCCACGGCTGCACAGCTCCACTTCCTCGCCTGTCATGCTCGGGTAGGTGAACCTGCAGCAGGGCCGGCAGGGGCCCTCGGGGCTCTCCGAGGCCAGGTGCTGGGAGGCAATCTCCGCACATAGAGCCTCCAGCTCTGTCTCATCGTTGATCTACAAGTAGAGAGAGGTGATGACCTATGGGCCATGGGGACATGTGCTGAGGGCAGAAAGGGCCCTGCATTCTCAGGAGAAGGCTGGTCTGTGTGGAGAGGGGAGTTTGCTGTCCGTGCCTGGCCAGCTTCAGATGACCACTAGGAGCTGAGCTCTCTTGCTGAGGACCCATGATCCTCCCACCACATCTGTTCAATCAAGGACGAGGGCCCTTCACGTGGCACATGGGCCACAAGCACTCGGAGAGGATGAACCAGCAGGCTGGCCAAATCATTGCCTGCTCTGCTGCAGCCAGAAGGTGGACCGTGTCACAGCCTCGGTCCCCATGAAGGGGGCTTTCCACACAGATGGCGTACGTGACAGATCGCTCCTCAGGGATGCTCCCTGGCAGCGGCTACAGAGGGTTGTCAGGGACCCAGGACATTGCTCCCCACAAGTGTGCCTTTCACATACACTCTCGAATTTCTTGACATAATTATAGGTAAGAATGTCTGCTTCTTTCAGGTCCAGGTCAGGGTCCAGGGGCTCTCCCACCAATGTCTTCCAGAAGGAGGGCAGGAGGTCCAGGGGAAGTGGGACGTCTGCTCGAATAGCAATGCCCAGCAGTTGTCCCAGGAAGTGCAGCAGCTGCTCCTCTGAGTAGGTGATGGGGCTCGGGGTGAGGATGTACTTGCCCTGGAAGGGAAGGCACAGTGAGGGATCCAGGGAGAGCTTAGCCTGCTGCCAGGATGCCAGCCCTATCTAAGCCAAGAGTGACAGTCTGGTTTCACCCAGGCTAGGATGGCTGCTGAAGGGCTGGGGGCATGCCTGGCCCTGCCCCTGGGGCCCCAGAGCTGGTGAGATTAGTGCCTCATCAGAGGCCTCGACTGCCAGTGCTCACTCGCACCTTGTTCTTGTTGACAGCTGAGCTGGGGCACAACAGGAGTAGTGATAGCGCCGAACTCTGCAGCTCCTTGCACACCTGCCACAGGAAGTGCCGGAAGGAGCCACCTGCAGGGTGATGGAGACCCCTCAGCACCTGCATCCACCTGGCTGCCCTTGCCAGTGCACCCCTTTCAGGCCGAAGGGCCCATCCATGGGAGTGGGGACCGCAGGGCTTGGGATGGGGTGGACACTCAGGGCACAGTCCCTGCTTCCATGTGCTCAAGTGAAGGAGGAAGTGGCTTTGCTGATGGAGGGTAACTGGAAGCTTAGGGTACAAACAAGCCCTTGGGCGAGGAAGGACAGTCACTGACAGTTCTAGGCCAGGCCTCCTCCCTCCACCTTACTGGACAGAGTCACTCACTGGTGCCGTGGACCTCCTCCCCAATGAAGCGGATGTTGAAGGCGTACGTGGGGTCACCGCCGCTGGCCAGCTTGACACACAGCTGAGACGAGGGCACTGAGGCCAGCTGCCTGGCAGCCTGGCAGAAGTAGGAGTTTTCGGATGCCCGGATTTCCCCTGCAGGAGGAGGGAGGAGCTGACCACGCGGGACAGCCACTGCCCCACACCCACACTTGCCTTCTCTCAGTCCTTGGGCATCCAAAGGCCTTGGCGTACATGCTGTCCTCTGCCTTCCCCGTGCTCATGGCCAGCTCCTCTCCTCCTTCCATTTCCCCAGGGTGGAATCCATGCCATCCATATCCCACTTTCCCTCATCTCCACTCTAAGCAGAGACTCCAGCTCCCTGTTACCATTTTCCTCGTCTCTGGAGCCGGGGCCTGGATCCCTCAGCCCATCTCCCAGCCTCCCCTGCAGGTGGATGTGGCCATGCTGAGACCTGGGCAGCAAGTAGACAGGAGAGGAGCCAGTCCATGGTGGGGTGCTTCCTCCCCAGCTGCCTGGGGTGTGGAGATCAGGTGGACCCAGGTGTAGGAAACAGGGACTGTGAACAGCAGCCCTGCACGCCTGTCCTGCAGAGTCTTTTCTCATGAGAGACACCATGCGTACTCTGCTGAGGTGGCTGCTGCCTTGCGTGCTCTCCTCTTTGTGGCCCATCCTACCTCCCACAATTTCCAAGGGGTCCAAGGTGATCTCGGGCGCCGCGTGATCAGCTGTCCTCTGCACGGTAGCGTTGAGCACCCGGTTCATCACGGTCACCTTTGTGTCATAAAATATCAGTCCTGGAGAGAGAAACATAGGGGAGGGACTCAGGTGGCGGTTTCTTTCTTTTCCTCGATCACTCTGGGGGCCAGGGAGGCCAGGATGCCCCCCACTTGTTTATTGTCAGGGTCCACTCACAGGCCTGGCTGTGGGACTACCCAGTGTCCTGATTCTGACCCTGGCAACTGGTTGGCTTCCTGCTACATTTCAGTTATTTACCCTTTGAGTCTTTCAGCTCAGAAGAACACCTGGCTGACAGAAATACAGTAAGAAAAAGGGTGAGTCTCCTCATTGAAACAGCACAAAATGAAAACCAACAGTGTCCATCAGTTGTGAAGTGGCACCTTCCCAGTGGGCCGCCATGGACACTCAAGGCGTTGGTCAGTCGGCCTGGGCCGATACAGAGCACGCCGAGCACAAGGAGGGGAAACAGGAATTTCTGGAGCAGAAAAATCTGGAAAGGCATGCACTCAGCTTTTAATAACAGTCACCTCAAGGGTGTGCAAAATCGGGGTCAGTGGAGGGTGGGGGCATCTCCCTAGGCTCACTGCCTAGACGCCAGGCAATAGCTGGTGGCTCCCCCTGCCTGTTCCCGCCTGCCCTCCCCTCCTGCTGTGCCCACTGTGGGCTGTGGGCTTGGTGATGGTGGTGCACTGACCTTTGGCCTCCTTCAGCAGGGCTGCAATGCTGTGAGCGTACACATGTGTCTGGCGCAGCTCCACCAGCGGTAGGAAGAAAGTCTCCAGTGTGGTGTTCAGGGACTGCAGCAGGGCGAAGCGCAGACGCAGGCTCTCAATGGGCACATCTGTGGGCAGAAGGGTAGGCAAGCTGACCTCAGCCCAGTGAGGCTATGACCGCTGGTCCCTTCCTGGGGAAGGTCACTGGGAGCTCCCACAGTGGATTCTGTTCCTGGGCCTTGGAGAACTGTCTGCACTTGAGCCCTTAGCTGCCTTGATCGGCACTTTGCAGAGCAAAGTGGGAGACAAGGCCGGTTAGATGAGAGGTCCTGGTCCCCAGGCCACTGCTGGGGCCACTATTTATTTTCACTTCTCATTCTCATATAATCATAGCCTTGCAGGAAGTTGGGTAACTCGTACAAGGTCCCGTGTGTCTCTTACCTGGCACCTGCAGGGTAACACCAGGCAGCAAAACAGAAGGCTGGTGCAGCCACACTGTCTGTTCATCCCCAAAGCCGGAAAGGGGCTCCTTCTCCTGTGCCCAACTGACCACCTCAGAAGGGGTGTGTCCAGGAAGGCCAAACCAACCCTGCTGCTGTCTGTGTTCTGCTGGGCACCTGGCCACAGTCGGAACAGCCCAGGGGACCCCTGTTGGCACACTGAGATACGCACATTCGTATCTGGGGGGAGGGCAGCTATGGGAAGCTGTTTTTTGTTTTCTTTGTGCATTCCTGGATTTAAGGACAAATGCTTGCCATTCTCTTGTGCTTACATATGAAGCCCTACCACAGGCCATCAGACTCTCCTATGAAGATGGTGCCTGATGTGACAGAGGTTGGCCCTCCTGTCAGAATGCTTGTGTCACCATGAACATCCAGGTAAGCTCCACAGTCAGAGCTTCTGGTCACTCCCTGTGCTTTGTCCAGCTCCCCTCACCTGGCTTAGGGCAGGTGTCAACAGTGTGTGCTGGGAGGGGCTCTTCTACGCAGCCCTGGGCCACTGTGGGATATACTGAGGGTGGGTCCCCCAAAGGCATGCTTGCAGGGGCCACCTACTCAAGAGACAGGCCACTCTGGGGTCAGCCGTGTCTGCAGGGTCCAGGTACACCTCATGGGGATGAAGGCGTGCAGGTGTGATGGCAAGGTGGCGGCACAGCCGGTTGATGTACTGCACTAGTGCCACGTCCATCTCTAGGGTCCACTTCCTCGAGGCCTTTTGAGCATGCCGGACGTCAATGCAGGCACACCTGGGCCGGGAGAGAGGGAAGATGGGCCAAGGCTTGACCCTCAGCACCTTGCCCCAGGCAGTTGGGCTGAGGTTAAGGGTGGGCTCCAGAGTCCTTCGTGGACATCTACACGGTGCTTAAAGTAAGCATCTAAGGAAAACATATGCTGACTTTTGAGCCTCAGCCTCTCAGTCTGAAAAATGGAGACAGCAGTCACGTGGGCCCCCCAGCACTGTGATGAGGGTGTGCTCACAGCAGGGATGCGTTCAGTCTGGTGCCTGACACGTTCTGAGAGCCCAGCCAGTGCTGTTACTGAAGGTGTTGCCCCTGGACACAGCAATCGCCGTCCCAGGGATCTACCCTCCCCAGGGATCTGGAGAAACAGACAAGATGCGTGAGGGCAGCAGTGGGAAGGACCAGTCAGTCACGGCAGCATGAGGACACCTCAGCACCATCCAGGCACTGGGAGTGGCTCCACCGCACCCTCCTCAGGGCAGGCTATTCCAGAGGCGCAGGCCTACTGCCCTCGAGCTGAGGCGGACCCACGGTGACCCTGGAGGACGAGCAGAGTCACTCTGACATTTTCCGAGGCTGTTGGTCTTTATGGAAGCACACTGTCTCATCTTTCTCGCATGGAATGGTTGGTGGGTTTGAACTGTTGACTTTCATTAACAGTCAGCTCTTTCAATCATTTAAAATTCTCTTTAATTAGTCATATGATAGGAGGGATAAAAAGAAAAATGCCGAGTCCAGACAGGCTGTCCTGTCTGGTCCTATTTCTACAGTAATCTAAAAGTGTTACCTCCAGAAAAATGTTTGGTGCTGTGTCAACACAGCATGACCACAGTGACTGTGGGTGCAGAATGAGAGAAACCCACCGGCATCGTGTTGGGTTTTTATCAGCCAGGCGAGTCATTGTGAAGGTGTGAGCCACAGAAGGCTGGGGGTGGAAGGGGGGGGGCAGGGGGAAGAAAAGAGCAAGGAACCAGCCCCGTGGACTCAAGCAGCCCCAGGGCTGTGACAGCTCCTGCGGCCGTCACACACTGTCGCAGGACAGTGAGGGTGTGGCAGGCTTGCTCCATTGCATATTTGACCCACAACATGGTCAGAGCCAGACCTCAGCTTCTGTTCTGACCAGAGGCCCCTCTGGCCTCTTTCATCTGGCTGGCCTAGAAGAGACACCTCTGGCTGCTCTGACCAGTGTAGGGGGTGGGGAGAGGATGTGCCAGGCCTCCCCACAAACCCGCCCACTACCTCCCACGAGGGAGCCTGCTGCTGTCACAGATTCCTCCCTTCCTAGTCTGCATCCTGTGTCTTCCCTTCCCACGCTCCATACAGCATCTGCCTTTCAACCACGGAGCCTGAGCGGTAAGAGGTTCAAGACTTTAGTTGCTAATAAAAGGTCGTTAGCTCACACCCTGCAGCCATCCTGCATGAGGATGAGTCAGTCGGCTTCCAAAAAAGATCCACGTCCTTGGAGGTCCTGGGGTAGTTCTGCTCTAAGTCAGAATCAACTTGATGGCAGTGGGATTGGTTTGTGTTATCTTTCAACAAAGACCCCAGTCAGTCCTCGGTCTGGTTTCTAGAATCCAGTTCCAAGAACTTGTCCTCCCCACCACAAAGCCAAGGCAAATCCAGGGGGTGATTCTGAAGCTGCCATTAAGGTACAAAATGCCAGCGCCAACCTGGTGGTGATTCTCAGGTCTGAGCCGAGTTCTGAAAGGCCAGTGTTGGCAGGCACTCTGACTGTGACTCCACACACAGGTGGTGGGTGAGGCGTGGAAGAGGAGGCTGTCAGGAGCAGTCAGAGGGATTGATTTGGGACTGAGGGGTTGAGAGAGAACCTGGTTTGTGTGGCCCTGGAGATGTAGAAGCAGGGGGCTTGCTGGGCTCGGGGGCCAGAAGACTCAGAGGAATAAGACAATTTAGGAACAAAAAATCTCTCAGGCAAGAGTCTAGAAGGAAAAACTGAGATTGCTTTCAAAGAGGATGAAAAACCCACTCAGTTATAAAAAAGTAGAAAATAAGAGCATCAGAAGGGAATCAGAAAAAGGGGGGGAAGTGGACAGGATGGCTCCCCAGAAAATATGATCCTCGCCCTCACCTCTCAAAATGAAGGTCGTAACCACAGGATAAAATCGCCCTCCAGATGCTGCGGATATCTTGCTTGGCTCGGTCAATAACAAACTTCTGAAATCCTTCCAAGGTCAGGTATTTTTCCTCGGGGACTGAAGGAAAAGTCAAAGCAGCATGAAGAGTTTGGTGAAGACTGTGCGGTGTGGCCCCACAAGCCATTTTCCAGACTAAGCCTCCTGGGTCCCCCTAGGGCTCCACAACTCCTGGTCATCCACCCCTGCTGGCCCAATGTGTAGTCAGTCCTCCCGACCCTACAAGCTCTCTGGGCCCTCGGTCCCACTTCATCAGGCTGGTCACCAAACGGTGCGTCTGTTCCCTAAGGTCTCCTCACATGGAAGACATATCCTGACCACCCACAGTCATTTTGGTGACAACAGCTTTTCCCCAACTGTGTGGGTCTCTAGAAGGGTTTATTGACCTGGAGCAGATCAGAAGCTTACACAAGTGTCTTCTAGAAGAAAATTCCCAAATCTTTACTCCTCAGGCACAATAATCTGTTCTTCCTCTTGGCTGTGTGGATTTCTGAAACTCCTACTTTAACCTATGCAAGTGCTTGGTCATCAAAAAGGGCACGACACTGGGGACTAATCAGTGCTGGCTGGGTGTGTTTCCCAGGGTCTCTGGAAATGCTGCCCGGCCTGAACTAAGACCCAGAGGAGTCCAGGGCCCAGGGAGCAGGAGTCATATAGTGGGCTGACTCCAGGAGGAGACTGGCCCCCAAGTGTTCGCTCACCTTCTGGCTTCTTGGTGGGTGACTTCTCTGGGTCCTTTTCATCAGGTTTACTCTTTTCTGGGGACTTGGGCTTCACGGTTGGCTTCTTCTCACTCAAGGCGGTCCTGCTGTAGAACAAACCATAGACTCAGAACTGTGCATGTCCACACCCATCCTCCTGAGAAGCGCACCCATTCACAGCCCCAGACCCCTACTGATGCTGTAGGCAGGGCTGTTCAAGGTCACCTTGTCTCTGACCCAAAAGTTTACTGAGACAACAAGGATGACAAACAGATGGTGTGCTAGGTGAAACCCTGAAGAGAAACTTCACAGACACACTTGGTCCTGAGGGCTGAGCTACCCAAGGGGGCAGGCACAGCTGTTTGTGCTGTTAGGTGCTGTCAAGTCATAGCAACCCTGTGAACAACAGACCTGAATTCTGTCCTGTCCTGTGCCATCCTTACCATCTCTTATACATCTGAGCCCACTGTTGCTGTCACCATGTCTACCCATCTTGATGAGGGTCTTCCTCTCTTTCACCGACCCTCCACCCTTCCAAGTATGATAATCTTTTCCAAGGAATGGCATCTCCCAGCAACGTGTCCAAATATGAGAGATGAAGCTTTGCCATCTTTGCATCCCAGTCAAGCTCCAGCTGCACCTTTTCTAAGACAGACTTTGGGCCGTCCATGGGATGTTCAGTGCTCTTCTCCAGCACCACAACTCAAAAGCATCAAGTCTTCTTCTGTCATCCTTATTCACTGTCCAGCTCTCAGATGCACAGCAAGTCATTGAAAAAGTCCATGGCTTGAATCAAGCACACCTTAGTCTTCAAGCTGACATGATCACTCTTCTGTATTTTGGAGAGGTCTTAACAGTGGACTTGCAAAAGCAATACCTCTCCTTATCTCTTGACAGCAGATAATGAGAGTGCTGATTGTGGATCCAAGCAATACGAAATCACTACCAGTGTCAATCCTCTCTCCATCTCTATCATGATGTTGTCACTCACTGGCCCATTAGTAAGGACCTTTGTCTTCTTGATATTAAGACACAGTCCATATCAAGCCTTTAATCTTCTGCAGCAATTGCTCCACTGACCCCTCACTTTCAGCAAGATACGTCATCTGTGTAGTGCTGGTTGTTGATGAGTCTTCCTCTAATTCTGATGCCACATTCTTCTTCCTAGAGTCCAGCTTCATGAATTATTTGCTCAGGACGGAGATACAGCCCTGACGCACACTGTTCCTGATTTTAAACCTGATTTGTGTTTCCTTGTTTAATGTGGACAATTGTGGACAGATTTCATATGAGCACAAGTAAATGTTCTGGGATCCCCATTCTTCTCAAAGTTACCCATAGTCTGTTGTGATCCACACAGTATTTAAAAAAACATTACTGGAAACCTCACTTCCTTGTGGCACCAGTCACTAGGGCCCAAGAGCCCCATGTGGCCAGTGCCCATCACATGGACCAGTAGCTGGAGAACATTGGGCTGTCACAGGAAGGTCCATGTAACTGTGCTGTAGAAGCGCCACTCAATTAATGGGAAGCATCTGATCATGAACAACTAGTCTGGAGATGCTGACTCATAGCTGACCCTCCAAAGGCTTTTGGGAGGTGGTAAACTGCATGGAATTCACTCCACAGCTGTTGTTTTGTAGTACAGAGAATATCATGAGGCTCCACAGGGGAAAAGACCCGAGGAGCTGCTCACCAGGAAACTGTGGGGCAGCCTCCTCTGTCACGTGGGGTCACAAGGAGCAGAGTCACCAATGGCACACAACAGCAGTGACAGAAGACAAGGACTGGGAAAGTCCTTTTACACAGAGATGACATGAGAGATGATTACAAAATACAGATAGCAAGATACCAACATGGTATGTCACACTCAACATCTGCACTTAAAGAAGGTGTGTATCTATTTACAAACATAGCAACATTCTGGAAGAAACTGGTCACAGGTCATCTCAGGCAGAGGAACCAGGAGGGAACAGGGGAAACTTCACTGCATCTGTTTCTGAACTTGGAGCCACTTCAGGGTGAATTCAGCCACTTAAGAGTTAAGGCAACATGCAGATGCATACACAGATGCTTCACTTTTGGAGAGTAAATGTAATCTACACATGGAGTAATCTCACCATTTGCAACACGCAGATAAGCATTTCCGAACCTTCCTACCATAACTGAGCAGTGCTTTCATAGTCAGATGAAGTTAAAAGCATTTGTTAAAAACTCTAGTCCTCTTCCTAGTCCAGCCTCGCCCGCTCTCTAGCCCATACATGCCAGTTTCCTTCACTTCTGGAGAAACCCAAGTAACCACTCGTGTGGGAAAGCTGAGACCCGGAAGACCTGCAACAGAGGCGAGCAGAGCCATGGTCAGCTCCTCCTGAGGCCTGTGCCCACCTGACGCTGTTGAGCACGGCCTTGTCCTTGGCAGGTGGCTTGGAGACGGGCCGCTTGGTGCTCACCACCTTCATGGGGTGCTGCTCCTTGCCGGCTTTGCTGTACTTGCTTTTGTCAAACTTGGGCTTTGGCACACCGTACTTCCTCAGGATCTGCAGACACAGGGATGTGAGTGGAGGCTCAGCTTGTCCTGCAGGACAGCCCCCTCATTCCCAGCCTTCATCACCTCATCCCCTCCACCCCGAGGCCCAGCCCTGGTCGTCAGGGCACTGGCGTCTACCTGGGTGAGCTGATCTTCAAGCACCTTCTTGGGCGGCCGGACGTTGGTGAAGAAGAGGTGGAGGAGGTTCCCTGGTGTCTGGGAGTTGATCTGCTCTTTGCTGAGGTAAATGTCTGACACTTTGATGGGCTTTGCTGGTGTTAGGCTCAGCATCTGCTCGGAGTGGGCACAGCTCTTGAAGATTTCTGTCAGCACCTCTCGGGCCCCAGGCACCAGCTTCTCACCTGTGACCCAATAAAGAAGAAGCAAACAATTCTGCCATGGGCATGCTTAGGCCAGGAAAGGCCCAGTCAATGCTTTGTTTTTCATAAACATATTTCTTCTTTCCTTAAATTGAGGTGAAATTCACATCACTTATAATGAATCATTGTCAAGTGAGTAATTCAGTGGCATGCAGTCCATTCACAAAGCTGCACACCCTGAAAGGGACACCCTGCACCTACTAAGCAGTCGCTTCCAGGCAGGCAAGCAGCTGATTCTAAAGCTGAGTAGTAACAGGCTCCAGTTGAGAGGACAGGTCATCAGGAGCACTGCTCTCCCCACATCCCCAGCCTTCCTGACAGCTGGGTGGGCCTGTGCCCACTTTCTCCTGAGGGAGGCATAAGCAGGAGGGATGGAGACCCCTATGAGGGCTGGGGTCTCTCTGCTCTGCATTTGCCCCCTTTCACTGGTGACATGAGCCTCGGGGTTGGGTTCCACATGCACACGAACAGCCATCTGCTGCAGCAAGGGCCCCTTGTGGCACTGTGGTTTAAATGCCTAGCTGCTAATCAAAAGGTCAGTGGTTCAAACTCATCAGCTGCTCCAGGGGAAGAGAGATAACAGTCTGCTTCCGTAAAGATAACCACCCCACAGGAACCCCTATGGGCAGTCCTGCTTTGTCCTATGGGGTCACACGACTTGGAATTGACTTCATGGAAGTAGATCTGGGCTTTTGGTTCCTGGAGCAGATTAGCAAGTCTTATTTTAAACAACATGATCATGGCACATAATCCCGAAGGAACAACAGGCTCTGCAGCCAGCAAGCATTCTGGTAGCAACCCATCAGGTTCATTACTACACTCCCAGAGAAACACTTCTAAACTGGTACAGTGAGTGGGGAAAGAACAGTTTCTCATTTACAGGATGCTGCCCAACAGCGTGAGAAAACAGACACTTTTTTTTTCTTTTTCGAGTGATGCAGAAAGGGGCCTGAGCGGGGCAGGGGTTAAGCACTTAGCTGCCCCTCATCTGCCCTGTAGGAGAACAATGGGGTTGACTGTTCCCATAAAGGTAACAGCGTCTGAGCCCCTATGGGGCAGTTCTACTCTGTCACAATCGATTCCCCAGCAGCAGGTATGGGGAGCTGTAACCAGGGGTTCCTGATTCCCTCTGTCCAGGGACAACAACCAGGGCAGGCCCAGTTGTGGTAAGACAAGCACGGAGCCCTCACAGGCCTGGACAGGGAAAGTGTGAGAGCTGGCCTGCTGTGGGCGGCCCTGTTTTCCACCTCCACGGGGCTTAGTCTCGCCAGATTCCTATTGCTTCCTGTCAGCAGAAAATATTTGTACTTTCCTCCTCTGACAGATTCCTGCTTTACATGGATCTGGCTTTGGGAAGCTTCACTGCATGTGTGTGGACACCGCAGGAGCTGACCCAACACAGCCACACCATATGGTATGTGCCATAGCCCTGGACAGATAAAGGTGCCGCCCCAAGACCAAGTTCCTTAGGCCTTTAAAATCAGTTCTGAGTTCAGTTCATACTCTAAGGGTGAAAAGACTGCTAAGGCATTAGCCGTGGTGGAAAATGACCTCAGATCCAAACAACAGGCCCGTGAAGTGAGCACCACCTCATATGGGGAGGTCCTCAGCATAACCAACCAGCTGGAACCCAAACAGTGCTCAGAAACCAGTGCTCAGCAACTCAGAGAGAGGGTGGAAGAGCACTGTTACCCAGAAGGTCCTCCTCCCCCCGCGCCAGTGCCACCAGCTAACCGTATAAACACAGATGAGAAAGAAATCTGCTCTTTAAACCTTTTCCTGAACGACAATAAAAACGTTCTCACCAAATCTCCAAGCCCAAATAATGCGTGAGGTCAAGAAAACTAAGGGCAAAAATGGGGCAAGTACTGCCTCGTGGCAGCAGAGAGCTGACGGGGCAACCCTGCACCACACCCCACACACAAAACCAACGAGGGCCAGGGCGAGGGCAAGGGGCACTGATCTGGAGCATAAAACTCAAACTTCTCCCGCTGTCAAGCCGACTGCAGCTAATAGCAATCCTGCCAGACAGAAAACGGCCCTGAGGTTTCCCAGTCTGGAAGTCTCAGTGGGAACAAACTGCCTCAGGTTTTTGTTTTTTATTTTAATTTTATTATTGTGTGTGTATCATCAAATCAGATCTGACTGGCACAGGAGGAGACTGGCCCTCCTTCTCCAGCGGAGCATCTGGTGGACTGCATCAGTCTTAACCCGCAACTTAAGGGGCATCAGACCCTCAGGAATCTGCCCTGGAGCACGTGAGAGAGTCATCTTCCAACATACTTGGTACATTCTAGCACCATCAAAACTCACTAGACAAGCGTTTGAATCGAGTACCATGTGACCCTCCAGTGAGTTTCTGAGGTTGTAATAATTTGGGAGGTGAGTACTCATCTTTCTCCCAAGGACTGAATGGTGAATTTGATGCACTAGAGATGTGCAGCCTATAGATTAGCAGTCAGCTCTCTGTAAAAGATTGATTGCTACTGTTAGGTACTGTTGAGATGGAACCAACCCACAGCTGACTCTCCAGTGAGTTTTCAGAGTCAGTAAATCACACAGGGGGAGACTGTCCAGCTTTCTCTTGCAGAGCAGCCGGGATTTGAATCACGTACCTTTGCCTTGGCAGCACAATTCCTTACCACTAAACCACGAAAGCAGAATAAATAAGCACACTTGGACTTCAACAAGAAGCCCAGCTAAGGAGACAGCACTGGAGGCAAGCTCACGTCCTGGCCTGATCCAGGCTGGGACTGAGCCTGGGGTAGTGCCCTCTGTGTGTCCCACGGCGATGCTCACAACAGCCACTGGAGTGAGTCTTTAATCTGGAGTTAGTCTGTAATCTCATCTCTCTCCCACCACCTCCATCATTCTCAAATCCTTCGCAAAATTAGCAACTTACATTTACTTCCCTCCTCCTCACCCCTGCAACTTACCTTTAATTGACTTATCATTGAAATAATCTTCTAACCCTGGGCTGCCTTGCGTATCAAATAGACTTTGATTGACTACAGACACAGTTAAAATCTCCTCTGTTGACATTTCCATCAATTCATCTTCACCATCCAAACTTGACAAACCAATCAGATCATTATTGTTGAATAAACTGGCTCGAATTTTCTCGATTTTGGCTCGGGATCTTATCTGCGTGAACAAAGAGAAGGGTCAGGATTTGAACAGCAACCAGCTGCTCTGTGCTGCCTTCTGCAGAGCCACTGTCTGTCTGTCTTTGGTGTGACGTGGTATCCCTCAGCTAACCCCCTAGTCATGACCTCAGCTGTAGTGCAGGTCTGTGAGCCCTTACCTCCACAACTGCGAAGCCTTTGATGGGCCGTGCGGCGAGGGGCTGGTTGTCCAGGGATGTGACCGTGTACATGGAGCCCACGTCAGACACTGAGGCTGTCTCGGCATTGTCCAGGGGTTCCCCGAGGCTGCCCAGGCTCCCGAGGCTGCCCGTGCTGCACAGGGAGATGTCGAGGCTCTCCTGGCTGGACACCACGTGGGGTTCCAGCAGGCCTGGTGGGATGGGCAGCTCGAGACCTGAGGGCAGTGGGTCCACAGACAGGTCACTGACCGTCTGTGAGATGCCCTGGGAGCTGCAGATGGAGGCCTGGCTGGTGGAGGCGGACGTGCTGATGCTCATGGCGGGGGTCAGGCTGCTGGACGTGCTGACCTCCAGGCTATCTGGGCCAGGGAAGCTGAGTGCCTTCTCTTGCTCGCCTTTCCTGTCACCACCCTCTGCCTTGTCCTTCGGCTTCTTGGGGTCTTCTTCCTGCAGTGGGATGTAGATCTCATCTTTGAAGACCCCGCCATGGGCATTGCAGGCCTTCCGGATGGCACCCCTGACAATGCCCTCGTCCAGGTGGGTGGGGATTCCAGAGATGACCAGCAGGCGGCTGTGGGCCGTCGGGCCGACCAGGGCCTGGCAGGCATCTGTGATAGCATCGCTCGTCACACCCAGCCCCTGCGGGTCTTTGTTGGTGAGGTGCCGGAGGATGATGAGCAGGGTGAGGGCCCGGTGAAACCAGAGCATGTCCTCAGGCTTGCCACCCCCGATGCTAAGCAGGGCAGGGTCTGACTCCGCAGTGCGCGGGGCCACACGTTTCCCGGAAGAGGCGGCTTTCTCTCGTTTCATCTTGACCTTCTTCCTTTTGGACAGAAGGCTGGGGCTCTGGGGCGTCTGTCCTGGAGAGGAAGACGACGAGGAGGAGGAGTCACTGAGGTTCGGGGCGGGGGTGGTGGTCACCCCGCTGGCCGTGACACTCATGTTGGTAGGAAGAGTGACTTCAGCGATTGCCAGGCAGCCCTCCATCAGCGCATGGAAGTAGGTGGAGAACCTGCCCTGGTCGGCAGCCACTGCTGGCCCTGCGCTGGTGCAGGTGCCGCCTGAGACCCAGCCCTGGGCCTCCTCATCATAGAGCTTGTGCAGCTCCGACTGCAGGGCCATCAGCATGGCCAGGCAGGGGTTGAGCTGGAGGGCGATGGAGGGGCAGAGGCTGGCAGGATGCTTCCGCTGCTCCAGGGCGTGCACCGTTCGCAGCAGCTCTGCCAGCAGGTGGAATACCTGCTCCTTCACGCAGGCAGCCATGTCTGTGGTCCACAGGAAGTTTCCTGAGGCAAGAAAACAGCGTGAGCATGGTGACCATTCCCTGAGCAGGAGCAGGGTCTGAGTCACCCTTTAAACCATTCCCCTGGCTCAATTCTCAGCCAAATAACAGACAGGCGTAGAAGGTGAATACTAATGACGGATGTATGTGCTTCCTAAAACAACCAACCACACAAGATCAAAAGGGCAGCACAGAGCTCAGTAGGCCGGGAGGGACGGGAGGGAGGAGGAATGGACACGGGAGACAGGGAGAGGCAAGGAGTGCTGCTATAGTTTGGGGGTGTTAGTCAGTGTTACACACCAAGAAGGGCAGGGACTGTTAAATGGAAAACCAGTTTGCTCTAAAAACTTGAGCCCAGATCAAAACATAAAGTTATTCTAAACATTAAAAAGAAAGAAAGATGCTGGAGAACGAGGGGCAATAATCTCTGCCTATATCTGTCAGATCTTATTTAACGGTACACACACACAAAATAATAATAAAAAATTTAAAAAAAAGAAAGGAGAGAAAGAGAGGTAGAAAAAGGTGACCGTTCCATGTTTATTCTGTATCAGAAGCGGCTGCTGGCATTTAACCCTCCCAACCATCCTGTGAGACAGCTCTCCGTTATCCATTCCCATTTCACAGATGAAGAGAGAGAGGCTCAAAGAGCCAAAGGACGGGTCCCAGAGCATGCAGCTCCCAGGGACAGAGCTGAGACTCAGGTACAGTGGGCTGGCTCTGCACCAGAACATCAGCCTGCTCCCACAGAGCAGCTTTATTTCCTGTCTGAAGAGGCTTCTCAGGAGACCAAATCCCAGCGGACTGCTACTGAGTGACCTCTAATTCAGAGACCCTGCAGGACAGAGGGGAGCTGCCTCCTATGGTCTCTGAGGCTGCCTGTCACACTGACTGCCCCATCGTTCTCCTGAGGAGTGGCTGGGGTTTCATGAGCAGCCCCGTTCTTCACTCATCACTGTGTTTTAGGCTGCTTGCTACTGAACAAATCCAAAAGCAAAGAGAATGCTGCTGGGTGAATGCTGGCACCTGGCAGCCTCCCCATTGGGTTTCCAAGGTGTCAACTTTGATGGGAGGCCAGCTCTCATCTGCATCTCTTGGAGAGTCTGGTGGATCTGGACTGCTTTCAGTTACCACCCAACTCCTAATCCACTGCACCACCAGGGCTCCATGTGATCAAGCAAGTTGGTCTAAGTCACTAGAATAGTGTTTCTCAAAGGTGGAAGATTACTATGGGGGAAGAAGGATAAATACACACTCTAATTTGATCAGACAGCAAAGAAACACACTGGAAACAGTTTTTTGGTTTGGTTTTTTTTTTCTTCTTGTTGTGTACCATCAAGTTGGATCCAAGTGGCACAGGAGGAGATTGCCCTTCCTTCTCCCGCACAGCATCTGGTAGATTTGAACCTTGTACCTTCAGGATTGCAGTGCAGCATCTTTCCACTAGACCACCAGAGCTCCCTAAATGGATTATTTTTTTATTTCATTCACTTTTTTCAGTTCTCTTCACTTGCCAGCAGGAAACCCTCACCTGGGGCTGGTACTGTTTTCAACGCCTTTGCCACACTTGCCAAGCTCCATTTTTAACAGAGCACAAGGCAGACTCAAAGTCAGACAAGGTAAACACAGCCTTTAGTTAACATTTTGTAACCGTGGTTCCTTTCTTGATGTTTTTTTCTTTTTTTTCACAGTTATCTTCTTATTTTGGCAAATGTAACACTAGTGATAGAATGTCCCTCCTAAGATTAAACATGAATTTAAATACAGGAAGAAAAGGAGTTGACTGCAATAAAAAATACTGAACAAGTAAGGGCTAAGATGCATGACTTTCTGCATGCAGACATCACAAGTTTGTGAATTTCTGGGAAGAACAAAATGGCACACATTTGTAGCAAGGTCCCCTTTGTAGTAGACATTGCTCTTAAATTCACACGTGTGTGTGTGTGTGTGTGTCCTGTAAAGAGGTGGATAATCTCTCCGTGACTCAAGGGTCCCGGACCTTAAGCCATCTGAGTCCTTGGTTATGAGTGTAATCACAGCGTGTTCTGCCCAGATGGTCTTGTACAGGGTCAAAAATGGACCGAGACTGCAGGGCTGGCCTGGCTAAGTCACTGAGAAACTCCGACAAAGTCCAGTGAGGGGCTAAGCTTGCTGCCCTTTCTGGCAGGGAACAGATTTGTGACTGTCATGGGCCACAGACTCTCAAACAGTCCATCACAGAGGACATCTGCCACTCTTCCACTCATTCAGAGGCCACTGGCCAACTGCTCACACCAGATCCAATATTGTACCCCCCGCTATCAGACATTGGTGGAGAAAGAATTCTCCAGCAAAACCTAACAGGGTGGCCCAGGAACTGATCTTGTTTACCTTGTTCCTCAGGTATGTTTCAGTTTTGGTTATTTTTTAAGTCACAGATATACTTTTAATAACTGTGTAATTCAATAGGGCATCTCCCCCATCGCTCCTAAGATTTCTTCTCTTCTGCTGCTGTGAGCATTTCTGCCTTCTCTGGATCATGACAGAATGCATTCCGTTTTTGGACTTCAAGAACTGAGTGGAACACTTGTCCTTGTCCTTCATCCATACATCCTGTAGAAGCCTCACATTCCTCTAGTATATAAGATGGGCATCATTAAAAGTCAGAATGACAAGCAAGGGTTCATGTCAGGATCCCTCAGCCTCCATGTGACCAGGGGCAAGCTTATTATTATATATTACTGTTATTATAATATATTATCTTCTTATTCTCACAAACAGACCCACCAGGGCCAAAGCCGACTTCAGCTCCAAACACATCCTCAGATGTGCCTGAAAAAACAAGAGTTGCTGGCGACATCTAAGGCAGAGAGAACTCAACACTTGTGAATTCCTGGCTCTTCAACATCTGTTATTTTTGGCCCTCAGGCTGGACTGAGGCCACGGGGGCTGAGTGACAGGATGCACTCTTCACGTCACTAGTCCCCCTCCTCTACCCACTCATTGGGTTTTTTCATTTGTCTGAATTTTGAAGGCATTTGTAACTTTTGGAAAAATGCATTCATAACACACACCGCAATCTCTTTTTCCTCCACTATTTCATTTTTGTGAAACTGTATTTTCAAAAGGTTGAGGGAATTGTACAGCCAACAACTATCATTTCTTACCCAGATTCTCCCAAGATTATATTGCTCTACTACACAGCTTTCCACTTGTCCAGCCATTTGCCTGTCTATCTGTATTTCTTAATGATTTCAGAGAGACTTGCAGGCATAATTCTGTTTTAATCCTTAAACATATTAATAATTAGTATCATTAATTAGAGTTCAATACTGATTTCAAGGGTTTTTTGGTGGTAAATTAATAAGAGGGTGAACCATGCACATTGTAAGTTTGAGATACAAATGGACCCTTTCTGAAAGGATTCAAAGAGCCCTGGTGGCACTATGGTTAAGATGCTGGACTACTAACCAAAATGTCAGTTGTACGAAGCCCAGCTGCTCTGTGGAAGCGACAGGGCAGTGTGCTCCTATAGAGAGTCCCTTCAGTCTTGGAGAACCAATGGGTCAGGAATGCTGTCCTACAGGGCTGCTGGGAGTTGGAATCTAGCTGATGGCAGGGAGTCTGAGTTTGGCTGAACCACTCAAGGGCTACGAGTATCAAATACCTGATTTTGCATCATAGTTCATTCTTTACCCTCGAGGTACAGGAATGGTATCAATCTATTTTTTAAAAGTAAAAATTGAGATACAAGTAATCTTCTTTCATGATCAACTGTTACCTCTCAAAAGAAGAGAAACAGTCTGCAAATCATGGATATGAAGTTCACACCCTACAATGAAATCAGCCCCCAGTCCAGGGTCTAGTCTGCAGCTGCCTGAGCAAATGTGCCCTCTGCCTGTGTCACTCAGTAAACTCTGCAGGCCGTGACAGCCACCCTGGCCCCTTCATTCTGGAAGGTAGGGATGGGAGCCTTACCTAGCAGCTCTACTACGTGCAGGAGGACAGACGTAGGGATACTGTCAGGCTCATCTTCAGACTTCCCTTCACCGTCCTCTGCTCTCCAGGACAGCAGCTGCTCAGCAAAGGCCATGGCCAGTGGGAACTCCAGGGGCAGAGAGTGCAGCACCAGCACAGCTCCAGGAGGTGGAGAAACCCCTAGAAGAAAGAGCTGCCTGAGAAAATGGCCTGGCAGGTGCCTGGACAAAAAAGGGCGGAGACACCTGTCCAGGTGAGAGGAAACGCAAGGCCAATGCTCCAGACGGAGTCATGGGCCAGGTGCAGAGAGGAGGCAGGGCATCGCCTCAACCGCACACAGTGGTGTGACAATGGGATTGGGGGCAATGTGGGGAGGAGGGAAGAATGATCATCCTCAAGTAGGGAGACACTGACCAGCTGTCTGATCTAGACTGGGAACCCAAAGACACAGTGAAAAAAGGGGTTCATCAAGCTATTATTCCAAGTGTGGTAAAGAGAGCTGCAGCTCTTTGGACAGCTGTTATCCCAGAAGCTGTAAGAACATTAAGCTTGGGCCTAGCCAGGAGACCAGCAAGGTGTTCCTAAGACTTAAGGTACTTCCAAGACGATGGCTGTGGATTCTTTATTATCTCCTGCCATTTTCATGCTTTAAGTCTGACCCAAACTGCTAACAAATGAGAGCAAAAACATTGCCAGTCCAGTCCGTCTTGTGCCTTACACTGTCCCCAAACCCACGACAAACATCACGGTCTCTGGAAGATGAGGAGGAACCATGTAGGGTGACTACTGGTGAATGTGAACTAGGATGGGAACCTTGGTTTTTAATAGTGTTTAAAAAACTAAGCCAGCACAGGCCAAGTACTATCCTCCTCTACAGAAGAGGAACCAAGGCCACAGGACAACCAAGATTTTTCAGCAGTAACCAGAATATCGAGACATGTCATCTCATTTCACTCCCGAAAGGGGCAATGTCTGAAGGACTGGCCTGTAGGGAAAGTCAAAGCCCACTGCGGGGGCTGAGAGTTTAAACACACCTTACAACGTCTCTAGCAAACTGTCTTAGTCCTTGGGGGACCAGAGAAGAATAAGGGTGCCTGAGATCATGTCTTCTCTCTCTCTCTGTGTCTACTGAGAAACGGAGTCAGGGGCAATGGTAAAAGGAGCAGGCACCCCAGCACCAGGATCTACAGAGGTGCAGCCCTTGTGTATCCTAGAGCACCAGGGCTTCATAAAAGACTGCGGGGAAAGGAGACAAAGCTGCTTCCCAGCCCATGCACGCTGCTTCCCAATGAGGGAGCAGCCACGCCCTGGGCTGCTGCCCTGAAGAGCCACTGGCCTCACTGAGAAATCAGGAGGCAGCCCGACAATGAGGCTGCTCTGCTCAGCTGACTCTACAGTGATGCATCCTGGATCAGGTCTGTGAACAGAAAGGCAAGCCCCACTAGAGGCCAGCCAGTACTCGCCAGGCCTTCCTCGAGCGAGAAAACAGGTCCTGGCAAGCACTGCTGAGAAAACACGCCATTCCAAGCAGTACTAGTCTTTATAGATAGCAAACCGGACCTAGCCAGGTCCGAGGTGCTCACTACCTTCAGGAAGGAAAGAAGAGCCTGGTCCCACACCATTCTGTCCTCAGCTGAGGGCTCATTGGAGATTTACCCAGTTTGATGTGGACCTTGTCCGTGGAGAGGATCACAGAAGGATACTGATTGGTGGTGGGGGGCGGCGTGAGCCCAGTGTTGGCTGGAGATGCATCCCGCGGGTAGCAGACGGCCTCGATGAGGTTCAGCTGACCGTTACGCTTGACTTTGTGGCCCAGTCCATACACCAGCACGCGTGCCCACGGCGCCTTGTACAGGGAGGAGCTGCACACCAGGGGAGTTAGTCAGGACACACTTGGTGACGAGAAACTGGGAACAGAGCATGGCTACTACATAAGAGTCCCTGTACATCATTCTTCAGAGCGTAACTTCCAAAACTGGTAAATGTGTGCAGAAGCTCAAGTGATTTGCAAACACCACTGCTCTGGGCTCCGTGGAGTGACCTCTAAGTCACAGGAACCCTGGAGGACAGAGTACTGCCCCACAAGGTTTCCAAGGCTGCAAATCCTTACGGGGACAGATTGCCAGATCTTCTCCCTTGTGGAGCAGCTGGAAGGTGCGAACCACTGACCTCTTAGTTAGCAGTCAAGTACTTCACCAGTAGTGCCACAGAGGAGCCATTTAATACCCCTGTGGTTGTTAGATGCTGTCAAGTATGACTCATAGCAGCCCTGTGAACAACAGACCTGAACCCTGTCTTGTCCTGTGCCACCCTCACCATTTAAAACCAAAGTGGACATTAATAAAGAAACCCATCTGAGCATTTTCCTCTTAGTTTCAGCATAATCAGGTTTCCTTCTCTTTCCCCACCCTCCTCCGGTGAGCAGGCGGCCACTTACTCTTTGCGGAATCCAGACTGGCTTTCTTTACAAGATACCACGACAAAAGCTGCCCCGGGGAAATTAACATCCATGTTGACTTTGGACTCAGAAATTGGGAATTCTTCCGAGGGGAACTGCTCCGGAGCTGTCTGCAGAGACATTCAATCAAGAAAGCCATGGGTAAGATGGGTGGGTACTCCTGCATTCTCTCATCTCAGGAACATGGTTGTGACAGAATCAGGACAGAAGAGCACTCCCCGGGATGAGCCAGAAAAGCATCCACAGACAGGACTGGTGTGGCTGGGGACTCGGTATCTCCACAGGGACTTGAGATTGCCTGTGGGTGCCTTGCCGTTTACCTGCAGGAAGGCGCAGACCTGCTTGGTGAGCTCTAGCAGGCTGTCCTCACCCTGATGCAGGGTGCGTGTGATGGCCACGCTGAGCCACTCACGCAGGGTCTGGGAGTTGCCCTGGTAGAAGAGATCTGTGGCCGAGCAGTTCTGGGCATGGATGCGGTGCTGCAGAGACTGTGCCAGGAGGATGGAGCTGGAGCTGATGGTGCCATCTGCGGACAGGGGAGAGCACACCAGTGCACAGGGCCCAGGGCAGCAGTGACACTGGATGCTGGGTAAGGAAATGAGCAGCAGACCCAGAGACAACCAACCTTTGCAGTGGGATACTCCCAGGGCATTCCATCACTAGTTTAGTAGCAAAGCCACTTCCTAAAATAAAACCTTAAGTAGAAGCCTCAAGTTTCTTAAAGAGATAAAAATAGGGCCAACTGCCTAGATTTTGGGGCTCCCAGTGTCTAACTCATTTGACCATTATGGGGCAGCACCAGGCAATATTGGATCAGACTGTGTAGAACAATGTATTGGTTGGATCATCACAGCAAAACTCTTTGTCTAAAAACACTCTAAGCCTCCTGCGGACATATTTCTAAGTCTCGAGGCCAATCGCTGGAGAAGGACATCATGTTTGGAAAGGTAGAGGGTCAGTGTGAAAGAGGAAGAGAGGGACTGGCAGTGACTGTGGCAATGGGCTCAATGTGCCAGAGATGGTGAGGCTGGCTCGGGATAGGGCCAAGTTCAGAGCCACTGTTCATAGGGTCATTAAGAGTCGTGGTCGCCTCGACCATAAAGCAGCAGGAAATTCTCATGGTTAGTTTACTACAGCCACTGTGGTGGCAAAGTGGTGAGAAAGCACGTGTGCAGACACACATAAACACACAGGTACACACACGCGGGCTGAGGCAGCATCGAGCTGATGGATGCATCGAGCCCGAGGCAGCCATCCGCTGGCAGTGTGGCTGATGGGACTGAGTGGCCACCCTCCTGCCCCCATCGTGGATGCTGGGGACCAAGGTTGCAGCTTTAGGGCAGAATGGCAGAGGAAGATCAGAGGGACTCCTCGGTCTTGAGTCGGGCTGAAATCTGATTGGTCACTTGGTGTCCACCAGGAGAGAAAGCACACACTTGGTTTCTACTCTCATGCCAGTGCATGAAAACAGCTCTGCCTGAGGGCTTACTGATCTAATGGGTCGCCTTTGGAAGAGTTTGAACACAGGAAGTTTTCAATGCTGAACAGAATGCTGGTGGTAAGAGCACAGTGATGATATTTCACAAACAATATGCCACTTTCCTTGAAGTACAATTAGCTTGGGAAGCTTGACAAATGCTCCACAGACTGTCAAAGTGACTAACACACTGATCACCTGACACGGCGTGGCATGGCTAAGGTGATCCAGGCTGTCCATGGGTGCACAGCCTCCTCACGTGGGTGGAGGTGAACCCTGTCTCAGGTGTGTTCCATTCAGGGTTGATTCCTACAGTGTCTACAGCAAGACCAAGCTTACCTGGGAGGGGAGGAGCAAGAAGCTGATTGGACAGCAACTGAAGGTGCTCCAAGGTGATATCCCGGATGGCAGGAATGTGGAAGAGGCGGGTGAACAAGTGAGGCAGCTTGGGGGCAAAGATGTTGAGCAAGGCCATGCGGCAGTAGAGCCTCGCCAGTGCGGCCTCACATCGCAGCAGCTCTCTGCAACAGAAGAAGAGAAGGGAAGGCACCTTTCCAGGGGAGACGCCGGGTACGAGGGAGGCACGCAGTGCAGGTGTGGCTCCCATGGGTGAGGGCCACATCGCAGGCTTCTCTTCCAGCCTCACGTTCTGGACCCCAAGTGAGACACATGGGTTTTTTAAAGCTACATTTAGTTCTGTTTTGTCCCCTTCTCAAAAATCCCTCTGGAAAGAGAATAAAAGTAGTACACTGATGTTCAGAGCAGAATTGCTCACCATCACAAAGGTTAGGGCTAGGGCAAAAGCTCAGAAACATGATCTACGGAATAAAGGCCTGACGCAAGAGACCGTATACTGCAGGATTCCATTTATATGTAATGTCCGCAAATCCATAGCGACAGAAGAAAGTCTGGAGGCTTTGGGGCAGTGTAAAGAGGGGGTGAGTGGAAGACGAGCACTGCTGAAGGAGGGGGTAGCTGGGGGACACAGAAGACACGTCACTGAGGGCTCCGAGCAGGCTAACCGTCTGTGTTCTAGCTCAAGGACACTTCTGGGAATGTCTGACTCGGAGAAGTGAAGTGATCTGATGGCGATGGTTAACAGATCACTCTGGCTGTGGTGAGGAGAACAGCTCTGAGGGGAGAAAGGAGCGGCTGGGCATGGAGAGGAGACACATGGAGAGTGAGTGGGGACTGATCGGGAGGAGTGAGGGCTGGAGAACTCGTGTCCCCTGATCACAATAAGGGGACGGTGAGAGTGTGAGGACGCAGTGTGAGGCAAAACCCCACCTTTCCGCTTCCTGTGCTACATTTAAGGTGCTTATTAAACGATCCTTTCCTCTACTATGTGAGGACTGAGTCTGGATTAACCTGTCTCTGGCTCCACTCTCCGGTACCTCACAAAAGCACTGTCATTGACATGTGACCCCAGAAGCCAGATACATCTGGACTGAGGGTGCTGAGGAGGAAGAACATTCTTGGTGGGTGACCCTAGCTTCAAGGCTTCCCAGAATGCAGTGATTCTGGTGACTGGCAAGTCTCCTGCTAGGGTCCCCAGAAGCTGTGCCTGTGGGGTTGCTACTGGATGAAGTGGCTCCTGTTTGAGATCTGTAGCTGTTCAGCTACCATGTGAACCCTTCCCTGTGACAGCTCTCTCATGCCTGAGCTGCAACTTGGGAAGAAGGTCAGAGACCAGCTCCCGAAAATGTGTGGACAGTGGAGATGACCACATGGTGCTGCCCCCGGGCTGTTCCAATCTGGGCAATGTGACTGTCTAACTGACCATAAGATCACTGAAATGGTGCCATGCAATAGCCAAAGGGAATGCCAATGAGGTGGCTAGACATAGGCATCTAAAGCTCCAGCGAGAAGTCAAAGCTAGAGAAAGAATCAAGTTAATAAACATCTCAAAATTGATAACCTAATGGGAGATTATGGTGACTGATGGCTGGCAGCATAAAAGATAGGGAGCTGTGGTGGCTTACTGGTAAGGAGTTGTGCTGCCAACCCAAAGGCAAGTGGTTCAAATCCACCATTTGCTCTGTGGGAGAAAAATGTAAAATTTCCTCCCATGCCATTTACAGTTTCTGAAAACCCACTGGAGAGTCAGCTATCAGGTGGCTCCAACTCAACACTGCACAACAACAGCATGAAATCCAGTTTATGAAAACATCTCAGCTGGGAACACTCTTTGTTGTTCTATTTTTCCTCTGAATTGCTGCAGGGATTTGTAACAAATCAAGGAAGTAATTCCTAAGGGAATGAGTCCAGGTACAGGGGAAGGAATTTTGCCAAGTTATAAGCAATGGAGTGAGGGCAGTGGGGAGGCAGGTGCCTTTAGCACTTCCGCTTCTCTAGAGAACTCTGGACGGTGAAAGTTTGCAAATTTCTGTTGTCATCAAGCAGACATTAAGAATACTCAATTAGCCAGCAATATGAGCTAACTCACACCATACCTGGACATCCTAGCTCTTCTCCCATCTTTTATGCTTTATGGGTTTCCCACACCCTGCAACTGCCAGTCACTCTTTGTCTCCACACTTAATAGGACTGCCTGTACCATACCCACTGCCACAGTCATTTCCAACTCACAGTGATCCTCCAGGACAGAACACAGCAGGATTGCTGAGGCCATCTTTCTCCTCTACTGTGGATAGTGGATTCAAACAGTCAGTCTTGTGGTCAGTAGCCCAACACTCAATGCACGGTGCCACCAGGGCTCCGACTGTGGCACAAGCCGGAGGACACTGGGCACCCTAACTGTCCTTCTCATCCTCTCCCACTTCACTGTTACCACGGTGAGCTGCCTTTCTCCCTCAGCTCTCGGCTTGAACGCTAAGCCTCCTATCTTCATGGCAAGACTAATGGTTTGGGTGGTAAAATGCAACTGGTAGATTGCTGTGGCCCATTAATAAGAAGGTTCACTTTTACCTGTGGATTTGAAGGTTGGTATTGTCCAATGTGACGAGGCCATTGGTGGCAGTCCTACGGTAGCCTGCAGGGGGCCTTTCCAACATATCGATAGGGTACCAGTATCGGACTAGCACTCCTTCACTGCGGAGGTATGTTTCCACCTGCACTAATTCATTTACCTATGACAATAAAAGGGAAGAGCTTTTCATTAATTTAAATTTTTTAAAATTCATTTTTATTATCTTTTTGTGTATACCGTCACATCAGATCTGACTGGTACTGGAGATTGAACCTCTTTCTCCAGCAGAGCATCTGGTGGATTTGAACCGCACACCTCTGGGATTGCAGTGCAGTTTCTTGCCACTAGAGCTCCCTGGGAAGAGCTTTTTGTTTTTACAGCAATGATTGTTTGCCAAGTTAAAAAAAAATTACACACACACAGAATTTATATGTAAAATATACACCTTTTTTAAACTTCAGGCTTTTGTGTTTATTATTTGTTATCTCACTGACATTACACAATAAATTAGCTGGAAAGGAATTTACAAATTCTGAAACATAAAAAAGCTAAGTTTAAACTATATACTTAAAACGCCACAATATAAATGAAGGAAATAGAATGAAAATGAAAGTGCACAAAACACAATGTACATGGACGAAACACAATGTATATGAATGATAAAAAATATTAATTAACAAACCCCTATATACTTATCTGAATAAAGAAAAAAGTAACATTAAGAGGCATGGAGGTATAAATAAATCCTTACATATAAGTGCATCAGTTAAAAAAGTCATTTCAGTTGGAATAGAAAAATGAATGTCTACAAGCAGAAACTTAGAGAAATGAAAGTATACAAGTTCTAACACATCTGCTTAGTACTGAAAGTGGGCTAGTTTAGCTGTTAAAATACATATAAGAGGACTCTGGATTCATTCAGAACTAAGAAATTGAAAGAGAATAGTTGCTACATTGCAGCACACATTGTTGCCAAGTAAAACGTAATGTTATTTTATGTCAGTATTTTTTTTTTATTTTTAAGCAGGAAACCTGTCTGATAATGCTACTTTATTGCACAGGAGTGCATGCATACACATTCTGGATTCAAATGTCAATGTTATTTTTACCTAGCTATTAATGTTTTGTTTGCTTCTGTGGTTTTTTCCCTTTTATATTGGTTTGCATACAAAATTTGTATACATTGTGTTTCACACTTTCCTTCATTCACATTGTGTTTTATTCCATCAGCAGAGGGGTGAGGAGATGGTCTATAAAATAAATCACCACTGAACTATGCCCACCATTACCTCATCTTTTCAGGTCCCTGCCAAATCTTACTCATTTCCTTTACCCCCTCCCTCCACCTATCAAATTATGCGACCCTGTGATTTCTCCCCTGCCCCTCTCAAAAAAAGCAGATTTTAAAGCACAGTGGTACCTAACCTCATCCATATCTGTACTTTTAAATAGAGACCAAAGTTCAGATCTCTTTGTATGTAGTGACAGGTTTCAACAAAGATTATTTAGTCTAATCTGTGCATGATTTACCAGCTTTCCTTGCATGAAAAATTATTCAAGCACTAGGATGAGTCTGCAATCCCAGGCTCATCATTTCATTGTTTACAAAAGGATCCTTTTTCCCCCCAAGAAACCTTTTGCTTTATTCCATTCCTCTCTGCTTTTTCCCCACCTTACACTCCTTAAAGCCTTGCATAGACCTTTAACCTTTAAGTGGGCTCTGCAAGAGGGGGAAGAAAACTATGACTCTAGTTTAACACATCTGTTTTAAAAGATAAGGAAATTAAGATTCAGGGAACCAATGAGGCAATGTCATAAAAATCATGGAAAAATGACTCTGAATGTGTCTTAACATAAAGGAATCATGACAATGACGGATTATCTACTCATTAAGGACAAACCTTGGACTGCCAAGAAAATGAGTGAGTCTGTCTTGGAGAGGCTGAAACTAAGTTTCTCCTTGGAGGCTAGGATTCTGAAGCTCAGTCTCATATACTTTAGGCACATGGCCAGGAGGGACTGATCCTTGGAGAAGGACATAATGCTCTGAAGGGTGGAGGGACAGCACAGGAGAGGAAGACCTCCGTAGGTGTGTCAGTCAATGAGACTGGCTCAAGACAGAGGAGGTTTCAGAGCTGCTGTACACAGGGTCACTATGAGTCCCAGGTGACTTAACGGCATACAACAACAACAACAACAAGGACAAACACTAAGTCAGTTCCAATTTATAACAACCCTATAGGACACAGGAGAGCTGCCCCAAAGGGTTTCCAAGTCTGTAGGGTTTGACAGGTTGGTAGGTTTGAATTGCTGACTTTTTAAGTAGCATCCAAAGGCTGCTGAATCACTGACTGGCCTACCAGGTTCCTTTATGAAGGACAACAGGAGGGGTTATTTCCTCCTGGAGCTTGGTGGACACTATGCAAAAACACAGCTTGAAAATGGCTGTGGCCAATATCGCACAGTATACGGTGGTGTAGTCTGAAGGACCTGTTGGCATCAAGCGCTCCGAGCCTACTATCTATCACAGGTCTTGACCTTTGCCTGTGGGAACACCAATTATCAGTCAGTTGGCCTGGCAGCATTTTCACTTGGCTTCTTCTTCCCTAACTTGAAGGGCAACCTTTATGTGCCAACGTTTTTTTTTTTTTGTTTGTTTGTTTTTTATGGTATGGTCAGTCTGGGTATGAAAGTTTCAACAGACGTGAAAAGTTATTAACTCACTGAATCAACATCTAAGACAACTCCATGAAGCCCGAAGGTTTTCAGCATCCCTCGGATGGCAAATTTCGGCAGAGCGGTTCCAACTGTACTGCTGGCTACGTTATTGCTGTCTGGAGAGCGGGTCACTACCGTGAGACCTGTGGAGAGCCGAACAAGTTATTTTTTTGGAGCAAGTACCATTACCATCTTGGGATGTGCTATTCCAGGGTCTAGAATAGCTCTTACAGCATCTAACACCAAATATAAACCTCTGTTTAGTTATAATCAGAATGGGATAGGGCTCATTGCTAATACAATAAAATGTTCTACAGACACAATTCAGTAGTAAAAAGACAGATAATCCAGGTAAAAATGGGCAAACGGCTTTGAACAGATATGTGTCTAAAGAGATATGAAAAGATGTTCAATGCTATCATTATTATGGAAATGTAAATCAAACCAGAGTGAGATGCCACTTCACACTCACTGGGAGGGCTGTAATTAAACACGAACAACAAAACCTAGGGAGGATCTGGAGAGAGTAGAACCCTCAGACACTGGTGGTGGGAATGCAAAATGGTGCAGCCTCTTTGGAAAACAGTCGGGCAGTTTTTCAAAAAGTTAAACATGGGGAGCTCTGGTGGCCTAGTGGCAAGGAGCTGCAACTACAACCCCAGAGGCGCACGGTTCAAATCCACCAGATGCTCTGCCAGGGAAGGAGGGACAATTTCCTCCTGTACCAGTCAGATCTGATTTGACGGTACACTCTCTCTCACACACACACACACACACACACACACACAAATTAAACATAGAGTTGCCATATGACTCAGTAACCACGTTGAGAATATATTTTCTTTCTTTGTACAAGAGAAAGAAAAATGTATCTACACAAAAACTTGCACACAAATGTCTACATAGTATTATTCATAACAATTAAAAAGTGGAAAACAACCCAAATGTCCCTAAATGGACAAATAAAACATGGTCTATCCATACAACAGAATATTACTCGGTCATGAAATGAATGAAGCACCACTAGGTGCCACATATGGTTAAATTCTGGAAGCAAGAGTGCTCATGAAAGATGCCAGACACACAAGTGTATGGAAGGTACAGCTGATTCACTTCTGTGAAACGTCTGGTAGAGGCAGGGAGCCTACACTGGTCTCTAGGGAGGAGGTAAACGGGGAATGACTGCTAAGGCATACAGGGTTTCTTCTTGGGGAGGAAGGCTCTGGGCTACCCAACTTGAATGTACAAAAACCCACTGGATTTTACCTTTTAGAAAGGTGAGTTCTGTAGTATGTCAACTTATATTCCACAATAATAAAGAAATAAACCCAAAAAGGGAAGTGCTACTCCTGGCCTGCCTGTGGGATTCTGGTGTTTTTTGGTTGGTTTGGTTTTTGGTGGGTATTTTTTTTTTTTGGTATTCTACTATTTTTGTGCACCTCATCTCGTGACTCTAAGAATGAGTGATTTTAATTTCTCCTTTTTGTGGTTTCTGTAGTTTCCTCATTGCTCCCCAAATGCAATCTATGAAGGAGGCCTGGAGGTGTAGTGGTCACTAGTCAAAAGATTAGTGGTTCGAACCCACTGGCTGCTCTGCAGGAGAAAGATGTATTGGCCTGCTTCTGTAAAGATTTATAGGGGCAGCTAGTTCTATCTTGTCCCACAGGGTCCCCAGGAGTCAGAACCAACCCAGTGGCAGTAGGTTTTTAGTTTATGCAAAACACGCAGAATGAAAAGATTTGCTAAACATATATAACATAGACTGTGACAACTGAACCATTTCTAAGTGTACAATTCAGTGAGATTAATGAATTACATTAACCATCTTTGCGACTATCACCAATAATCCCAAACCTTTTTCATTACCCCAAAAAGAAAGATGCAACAGACTTTGAAAGAAAAAAAAATAAACACATTCTATTGAAGTTGGAATAAGCATAGTAAAACCATGTCTAGCAAGTATATCACCTCTGCGGACTGCGCCCGAGGGCTGAGCCCAAGGGCCTCTCTGGCTTGCTCATTTCCTGTCCTGTCTCCTACTTTTCTCACTTGAGCTCTGGGAGTGTGGGCACTACCACCAGAGGGGGAATGAGATGAACTTCCACCGCTGCTGCACCTTGCTGCGGCTGGAGGCCTCACTCGGAAGCTCCTATGTGAGAATGTGGGGTGATATCTGATCTCAGACAAGTCATCCTGGAGGAGGATGCATCACCCCATGGAGCCAGCAGCTGGCTGGCACAGACTTGTGCTTGGGAAAACCTCAACTTCTCATTTCTTAGGACACATAACATGATTGAAGAAGCAAGCAGAACCTTTCCGAACTTTGTCAACCGTGAACTTGTTTGCTTCGTCTTTGATGTCCTCAATGGTGGGAAGGTAAAGGTCTCTGGGGATGCCACCATTCTCCTCGTAGAGAAACTCAACAGTCTGTCTGGCGATATCCACCATGCCTGGAAGAAACAGCAGCTCTGGGTAACATAGGATAGACTCTAGTGACCAACTGTGTTAAATACTTACACTGGAACGAGAGACAAGAGAATTTCCCAATAAGGTCTGTGGGAGCATGCAACCGTTTGGGGGAGGTGATTAGATGGGGTTACCAAGTGTGATGTGTTCCGGCTTAATGCTGAACTTCAGGAAATCTCTCTCACAGCAATACAATCACATATGGGCAAAGGTACATGCACAACACTCAGGGCACAGTTGGTAAGAAGAACCAAAAGTTGAAGTGTTTACCAATATTCATCAATAATGGATGTTCTTTACTACTCTCTCAAACCCTGGTCTTGCTGTAATACAACGGTGTAGTGATTATCTGAGCAGGATTTATAAGAGGGTTGTAATTGGAGAGGGTGCTTAGGAAAAGAAGTGCCAGGGAGAGGAAAATGAGAAATTGTATCCAGCATTACAAAAGTATGCAAACATAATTTGTAAATGACTAGTGGGGAGGAAAAAAATAAACACTTGAACCCATCTTCTATTGCCTGCCTAGTAAGCAGGACTTTGGGCCTGCTGGAGCATGCCAGATATAACTGGGCCCAGGAGCAGGGTTGTATGGACCTTCTAAGCAGGACGTGATAGCAGAGTGGGGTATCTCATCACAGAGCAATTCTCAGGGCACGTGGAGACCTCTCCATTCTCCTTTCAGCCTGTGCCGCTGCTATATGGAGTGATTTGTTTTTGGAAGCTTAGTGTTTTAATCAATAGAGTCCAATTGGTGGCCATGGTTCAAGGCAGGATCTTGCTGAGAGAACGCCCTTGGCAAGATGAGATCAAGTGCTCGGGGGGCTTTTGGCTGAGTCATGAGCAGGAGTGGTTCATCTGACTCTGACCACCCTACTCCCTGATAACTGAATGCCTGGCTCTCTGGTGCATGTTTTCCCTTTCCTAAACTGGAAGTCAGGAGAATATAGTGGCTTTGGTATGTAGGGTGCTGTGTTGCTAACTTAAAGGTCAGGCCTCTCTGGTGGTTAAAAATCTACCAGCAGCTTCTTGGGAGAAAGATGGGCAATCTCCTTCCACTCGATTTACAACCTTGAAAACCCAGTAAAGGGCTAGCTGAGTCAGTTCTAACTTGACAATGAGCAAGAAAGGCAAGCAGAGGAAGAAAAGAGACCCCTGGGCACAGACATTCAAAACAACTCCAGAACAAACAGCTGAAAAGAAAAGACAAAAACAAACAGAAACCTTAACCCTAATTATAAGTGGAAGAATACATGGTACAATAAAGGCAAACAGCTCAATGGACACAGTAAAAAACTTCCATCCAAGTACTGCATTGTCTCTCTTCCTCTTTTCTCTCTCATGGCAGGCAGTAAGAAACACCAGCCTCCCTGAACAAACAGTGTTTCTTATTCCCAAATTTAAGTCTGCTTTTGTCTGGTTACCTCTGGGTCTCCTATTATACCCCATGTTCATAAAGAGGCCAGAGAAGACAGGTCACTCAAGCTGCAATGCTTGATTCTAATCTCAAGGAGGCGTGTCTGGGTATTCCCAGCTTCTCCCACTGGAACGCAAGCTCTACACTGTTTCCAGTAGACATCTCAGTTCCTAACACAAGGCTCAATACCCAGGAGGCTCGTGAAGGCACCATGAACAAGTACAAGAAATCAAGAACAAAACACTAAAAATCAATGCCCTGTGTCAAGACTGTGTGGTGTCACCCCTCTGCTCCCACCCTGTCCTCTCTTAAGTTCCCATACCTGTTTTACTAGTTATCCTTCTATTTTTACAATAATGGTCTTATGCAGTATTGTCCTTAAGAGGTTGAGTTCACTCAGCATAATGCTCTCCAGTCTTTCCCTAGTTATGCAGTATTTTTTTAGATCATTGCTCCTGAGAGCTGCACAGTCCTTCATTGTATGAGAGGGGTGAGGCTGGGTAGGGGCAAAACCATAGGGTAGCACAATTTGGAGGGAGGTGGGAGGGGATGAAGGAAATGGGAAGGATCTGGTGGGGACCTGAAAAAGACAGGGTAATGATGGACAAGGTTCAATGGTGACTAATTTCGTAACACATAATGCATGGGAATGATTGTATGAAACACAATGTGAATGAAGAAAACTGTGAAATACTATGTATACTATGTGGGACTTCGTAAGTAAATCAATATAAAATAAATAAGACAAAAGACTGTGGCTTCAAGGCAGACAGTAACCAATGTGGCACTACATTTAACAAGTAAAAGTTGCATGAAAAGAAGGTAAGAGCTGTTGTGCACCGTCAAAGAACACAAGGAGGGTATTTTATTTCAGATGCCAAGAATGCATGGAGGAGCCAATTCTTCCAGGTCTAGCAAGTAAGATTTCACTGCTCCTTTGCTCGGGGTCCTCTGCTGACTTCCTATATCTTATTATTTAGTGTCTGTCACAGCTACTCTGACACATAGGAACACTATGAATGACAGAGATCGTGTGACAGCCTCCTTGCTGACTGTTGCAGTCACTGTGTCAATCCACCTTGTTGGGAGTTCTCTTTGACTGACTAAGTTGAAGAAAACACAGTCCTTAGGTAGACGGCTACTTCTCACTCCCTTCATCATTCTCCCCTCCAATCTCCTCCACAAAAGGTTCTTCAGCTAGAGTGACTTGGCCTCACTTCACTTCCCTAAACAATCCAAATTCACTTACACTGCTGCTTCCTCTTACAAGAGAAGAGAGCAACAATTAGGAAGACAGACAAGACAAGAGAATATTAACTACATGCCTGGGGCTCAGGTCAGGAGTTGGACTATGGCTCTAATAAGACAGCAGAAGCAACCATATCACAGTATAGGATATGCAAATATTCCCAATGTTGAGTGAAAAGAAAGATGAAGTGCACAGTTATAGGTTTGAGTTTGAGGAACAGGAACATACACACACACAATTAGTCCTATAAATAGAATGTGTTTATTGTTGATTGCCTTCAAGTCGAGCACGACTGGTAGCGACCCTATGAACAAATGGCCTAATAACTTTCTATAACTATCAACATTTATCAAAGCTCATAGAGTTTCCAGAGGCATGTTGCTTAGGAAGTGGATGTCACTCCTGCTTCTAATATGTCTAATATAGGATAATATCCAATATAGTACAATAGTATATTAGAATTCTGTCAAGTAATAAAATGGATGAGTTAGAGGATATTATGCAGAGTAAAATAACTTAGTCACAAGAACAAGTACTGTATTAGTACTCTATGATCAAATAGGAAGATTATGGTGGGGAGATTGTGGAGCGCATAAACAGACTAGATAGACAATGAACCCTATGTTGGGTAGAAGTATTGAAAATGAACCTGGAGCACAAGGACGAGTGGATTATATCTATACTGCAGTTAACAACTTGGAAAAGGATGTGTGTAACTGATGAAATGGGAAGGTGAAAGGGGAGGGGGAAGGAGAGATGGGGGGGTAAGGTAAAACAGAGAAGCTATACTTTTCAGGTGTTGGATGTTATTAAACACATGTATATATTCTGATTAGTTCAGGTCTCAATACAAGAAAAAAAGAACTACTCCTGGATCACTGATGTGTGTGGACTCAGCAGATATGTTTCTTAAGAAATAACAGTCTTAGGGGAGCTCTGGTGGCCTAGTGGTAAGGAGCTGCAACTACAATCCCAGAGGCACACGGTTTGAAGCCACCAGATACTCTGCCGGGGAAGGAGGGACAATCTCCTCCTGTACCAGTCAGATTTGATTTGACAGTACACTCACACAAAAATAATAATAAAAAAAAAGAAATAACAGTCTTTCGGTAATTTTTCTCTTTATAGTTGTTGTGTGCCATCAAATTGGAACTTACTCATGGCTGACCTTCCGGCAGCTTTCAGAGGCAGTTAATCACATGTTAGGAGACTTCCCACCTTTCCCTTGTGGAGCAACTGGTGGATTCCAACTGTCTGCCTTTAGGATTGCAGTGAAGCTTCTTACCACTAGGCCACCAGAGCTCCCTCCCTTTTTATTCAACCCTATCAAATCAACTGCCTCTGAATTATGGTATTAGTGAAGAATATTTAATATCCCATGGATTGCCAAGACCCAAACAAATCTGCCTTGGATAAAGTACAGCTGGAGAGTTCACTGGACGTAAGGATGGAGAGACACACTTAGGACATGTTATCAGGAGTCAGTCCATGGCAAAGACATCAAGCTTGGAAAAGGACAGGATCAGAAAAAAAGGGGAACCCCTTCACTAAGCTGGGCTCACATAGTGACCATAACAGCAGGCTTAAGAACAGCAGAGATTGTGAAGACAGCAAAGGGTCCCGGGGGCTGCTGTCCAGACAGAGCAACGGGTCACTGCATGGTTCAAGATCAAGAAAGGAGTGTGTTAGGGAGGCATCTTCTCTCCCTATCTTTTCGATCTTTATGCTGAACAGATCATTCTGGAGGATGGTCTTTACGAGGAGGAATGTGGCATCAGGATTGGAGAAAGACTCATCAACAACCTGCGTTATGCAGATGACACAACTTTGCTCACCAAAATTGAGGATGACTTGAAGCATTTGCTACAGAAGGTCAAGATCTATAGCTTTCAATATATATTGCATCTCAACATCAAGAAAACAAAGATTCTTAGCACTAGGCCAATGAGCAGCATCTTGATGGATGGAGAAAAGATTGTGGTTGTTAAAGATTTCATCTTGCTCAGATCCATAAGCAACATGCTTGGCATCAGCATTCAGGAAATCAAAAGACAAATTTCATTGGGAAAATCTGTTGCCAAGGACCTCTCCAGAGTGCTACAGAGCAACAATGTCAGTCTAGAGATTAAGATATACCTGAACCAGGCCCTGGTCTTCTCAATTGCTTGCTATGCATCTGAAACTGAACAATGACTAAGGATGACAGAAGAAGAATCAATGCCATTGAGTTGTAGTGCTGGAGAAGAGTACTGAACATATCATGGGCTGCCAAGAGAATAAACAGGTCTGCACTGGAGAGGGTGAAACCAGGTTGGCTCCTTGAAGGTAAAGATTTTAAAGCTCTGTGGGCATGCTGTCATGTGGGATCAGTCCTTAGAGAAATACATCATACTTGTAAGGACAGAGCCAGTACAGGAGAAGAAGATGCTAGATGTGAGCTGTATTGACACAGTGACTGTGGCAATGAGGTCAAGTATGGCAGAGACGGCGATATTGGCTGAAGACAGGGCAAAATTCAGAGCCTTTGTTCATAGGGTCACTATGAGTTGTAGATGACTTGACAGCACATAACAAGAGTGGAGGTCCATGAATTGGAGGCAGATTATAACAAATTACAGAAAACATTGTAAAGACTGAGAGTTCCAGAATATTTAATTGTGTTCATGCGGAATTCATGTATAGACTAAGAAGCAGATCACTAGAACAGAACAAGGGGATACTTCATGGTTTTAAATCAGGAAAAGTGTGCAATAGGGTTGTAACCGTTTATCAGACTTTTTCAATCTGTATGCTGAGTAGATACTCTGAAGAGCTGTTCAACATAAGGAATGAATGTGGCATCAGAGTTGGAGGTAGAAAAACAAATCTATTTTAAAGGAAAAATAACCAGAATGTTATTTGTAATTTGACATGCTATCAGGAGGGAACAGTCTCTTGAGAAGGACATCATGCTTGGTCGAGGAGAAAGCCAGTGAAGAAAAGGAAGACGGTCAAGGAGATGGACTGACAAAGCAGCTACAACAGTGGCTCCCACGGCAATGACCTGACCATGGAGCAAGGTGAGGCAAGGGCTGCATTCTGTTGTACACGGATGTTATCTAAGACAGAATCGACTCAACAGAGTCTAAGAACAATAGCCGTCCCAGGGCAAGAGTCAAGACAGGAGAAGGCTCAAAATCTTCGTAATTAGTTGCTATGCATCAGAGAGCTGGAAAATGACTAAGAATGATAGAAGAAGGATAGACGCCTTTGAGTTGTGGTGCTGAAGAAAAGTCTTAAACATACCATGGATTGCCAAGAAAACAAATAGGTCTGTCTTGGAGAGGGTGAAACCAAGTTTCTCTTTGATGGCAAGGATTTTGAAGTTCTATCTCACATACTTTGGAGAGACTGGTCCTTGGAGAAAGAACGACATCATGCTTGGAAGGGTGAAGGGACAGCACAGGAAAAGACCACCCTGGAGGACTTGAACTGATCCAGTAACTAGGGCAATGTGAGTAGGCGTGTCAGTCCGTGAGACTGGATATGGACAGGGCAGCCTTTAGAGCTATTGTACATAGGATTTCTACGAGTTTTATGCAACTTGACGGCACATAACAACAACAATAACAATCTCTGGATGTCAACCAGTGACATAAAGCTCACAGCAATGTCCTACGAGGAAGGGCAACTTGTCTAGTGGGAAAAGCAGTTCTGCATTTCAAAAGGTAGATGTTTTGCAAGATGAAGAATAGCCTTAAATAGAAATGAACCATCTGCACTTAAAGACTCATCAACAATTGTGAGGTAACTGGTTTGATTCTTAAATTTGAATTATTAAATAGAATTAAAATTTATGTTGTTCTTAGCTGGAGGAATGGTGATGATTTTGGGGGGCTAACTGGGGGAAGTTTCATCATCAAGGTCACACAATTGGTAAATAGTGCAGCTGTGACTACAGAGTCCAAAGCGTGAACTTCCAGCCATACAACTTCCCTTTATACCCAGCCCAGCTTCCTATCAGCAGCCCATCATCTCAAAACAATGAGTTAAACAAATGAAAGCCTAGCTATGCAGACACAAGTGCACAGACAGAGTCTGACAAAGGTAAAGAAGGTGCTCTTATGTCTGGCTCATGCCAACATAATTGACCGCTAGCACCCTTCCTGACTTATATTCTGATTTTCACCTGAAACACATCTTCAATTCATGAAGTGGGATCCTAAGGCAAATATAAATACAGACCTAGCTGCAAGGCACCCTTTATCTGGTCCAGGCCTGACTTTCGCTCAGCTTCATTGCGGAAGCGTCTTCGGATAGTAGGAAAAACTTTGGTCTCCCACGCCTTCACGAGCAGGGCATAGTGGTCTTCCTGGAAGGAGAGGGCAAGCACGTGATGAGGGAATCAGCCTCAGCTCTTCCCCTCCTAAGGTCTTTCCAACTCAAGGGCTGGTGATGAAATGCTGTATTCAATGTGCTACGTCTGTCCCGTGGATGCCCAGGGAGGGGTCAGCTAGACTGAGCAAGCTTCTTCTTTCCCACTAAAAACCACAGAAGCATTTATCTGATTCCCAGCCTTCCTGCTCAATTACTACCAGAGTACTTTGTTTCTGTAATACCTGGATCTCGACAATGCAAAATAGCCCAAGAGATACTGCCAGTGACATATGGTGTAGAAAATGAACACTCAGAGTCCCACGCAAAGACAATCACATAGCTGGAACTGTGACAACTTTCACCTCACACCTTTAGGTCAGTCATTTCTCATGGTTTGTCTTGGTCACTAGGGAGCCAGGGGAAGGGAAAACTTTAGTTCTCTCACCTGTGGGATGTCGTCGTCATCATCATCATCACTTTCATCATCTGCAATGGGAAGCGGGTGGGGGTCTGGCCCAGAGGTGATGAAGTTCTCATAACTGAGTTCTACTTTATAATGACAGGAAGTGTCACTGTCGTATTCTGTAACAAAGCACAGTGACAGTGCATTTTAAGCACAAGCAGCCTGGAAAAGGTATTTACTCTTGACAAAGTAAATTCTTTTATGTGACAGAAAGCACTCACAGTTTTGTGGGGGTTTTTGGAGGGGGAAGCACAGAGTCAAAGAATAAATGAATATCCATAATTACCCTGAATCCTAAAATAGTTCTTATGGGTAAGATTCCTTCAACTCAGAACTAAGGATTTAGAAAATTTATCATGAGACAGAATTAAACACTCTCAAGAGAATCTGCAAACCAGTATCCCCCCGCCCCCGCCCCAGGGCTAGAGGTGGCCTACAGAGAGCTGTCAGATGGTGAGTTAACTGTGGGATTTCCCCCCCTCATTTTATTATGAACATTTTTGTTCATAATAAAAAATAAAAAAGCTTTGGACTGCACATTAGTATACCTACACCTAGATTCAACAATAAGTATTTCATTATACTGCAGTGACCCTGTTTTAAAACTTCAAGTCACAAATCCAGAGATTTTCAATGGAATCCCAGGGTTCTGTCTGTAGCAATGGGGAGCCTCTTTCCCGTCTGTATAGCTCCACTGGCACAACCCAGGGGCAGGCCCCTCAAAGAGGGGAGCCACTTCCTATGCTACCACGCTTTCTCTGCTCTCTTCTCCTCTCTGCCCAGCCTGATGTCCAGCTTGCCAGCAGGCACCAGAGTGTGCAGTCCTGGCATGTGACGAGGATGCCTACATGAGGTGGATGTGAGGAATTCCCAGGAAGCAAAGGGGCTCTGGGAGACAGTGACTCACGCTGCTGAGCAGTTGCCACAGCGGCGATCCGGCATGGTGGCCCGTGAGTGCCCGGGTCTGACGCGATGCTGGTGCCAGCATCATTGTCACTGTCAGAGGCCATGGCGAAGGGTAGGGCCTCGAAGTTGGCGCTGATCTCTTCTGCCAGGTCAGTGCACAAGTCGGCAGCATTGCGGTGGGCCTGTCCTTCCGCATAGGCAAAAGGTCGGGAGCCAAAGTTAGCCCGCGTTTTGGTATTCTAAGGAAAGCAAACAAAAGGTTTGAAAGAAACCAAACCAAACCAAACCAACAAAAAAACCCCTTCATTTTTTTAACATCCTTGTGGAAAATTCACTGACTGACTATGTCACCAGAGTGGAGGCCCACGTGACCATGCACACTAGCCCTGCAGAGGGCTCTGCCTGTCTCCTTCCCCTCACCTTCCTGCCTTCTACAAGCACACACACTGCCTTCTTGTTTGCAACACCGTTCCTTCCACTTTGAACAGTCTTTGCCCTGGATCTGCCTGCTTAAGAACAGTCAGCATTCCGAACCCGGCTCTAACCCCTGCTCTTCAAGAAGAGGAGGAAAACATCAGATCTGCTTGGAAAGTGCTTCCACATTAAGGTTTATGATTCTTATCTGTAGCATTTGCTACATTGTGTGACTATGTGATTAATGTCCAACTCTCCCAAGGATTCTAATCTCATGAATGCAGAGGCCATGTCTGTTTTGTCATTGGGATGTCTCCAGAATTTAGCATTCTGTTGTTTAGGTGCTGTTGAGCCAAGTATGACTCAGAGCAACCCTATGAACAGTTTACTGAAGCTTGTCCTATACTGTACCATCCTCACCATTTCTCATTGTTGAAGTCACAGGGGGTCTTCCCCACCTGGGGGGACCCTCCATCTTTCCAAGCATGATATCCTTTTTTATGAACAGTCTTGCCTAGCTACACATCCAAAGTATGAAAGATGAAGCTTCGTCATCCTTGCCGCCAAGCAACGCTCTGGTCCCACTCTTTCCAGGATGTATCTGCTTGTTCTTTTGGGAGTCCGCGGGATATTCAGTACTCTGTTCCAGCACCACGACTCAATGGTGTTAATTCTTCTTGAGATGTGCAAAGAGCTGGAGTCATAATTTACAGCAGTGCTTGGCATATGTAGAGACTCAATATTTGAGGAGGGATTGATTACAATAGGTTGAGAAATGCAGTATTAAATTACTGACATCTTTAATTAATTTACTCAACAAATATTGATAAAAGAAGGAAGCAGAAGTATACTACAGGGCCAGATCAGACAAGGTCATCCTTTTTGCACTGTTGTTGTGTACTGTAGATTGGAACCCACCCATAGCTGACCCTCTGGTGGTTTTTCAGAGGCAGTTAATCACATGGAAGAGACTGCCCATCCTCCTCCCATGGTGCAGCTGGTGGCCTCGTACAGCATGTCTTCAGGATTGCAGCACAGCTTCTTGTCATTAGACCACCAGCGTTAACCTCTTTTGGCATGAGTCTGGCGTTTTTTTCTTTTTAAATTTTTTTTATTGTATTATTTTTATGTGTGCCATCAAATCAGATCTGAATGGTAACGGAGGAGACTGCCCCCTCCTTCTGCAGCAGAGCATCTGGTGGATTTGAACCACGTACCTCTGGGATTGCAGTGCAGCGTCTTGCCACTAGGACACCAGAGCTCCCTTGTTGTTTTTTTTGTTGTTGTTTTTTTAAAAAACCCTTTTCCTGTGGTTTAGGTGAAAGTTTACAGAGCAAATCACTTTCCTGTCCAATGGTTTGTCTCCACTCTGCTTTGTGACAGTGGCTGCAGGGCCCTTGGAAACAGCATTCCTCCCAGTGTTCCCTGTTCCCATTCATCCTTTTCTCCTGCTGTTGGAGTTTTGTTTTGGAGCAAATGTTGCCCTTCTGGTCTCATATGGCTGGTTGTCTTAAGCAGTATGTTCCTCTCTGGTGTTGCTGTTTGCTTTATAGACCTACTATTATTTGTTTACTTTACAGGTCTATCATTTGGCTGGAAGTTGCTTCATGGAGGGGAGGTTCAATTCTAGGCTCAAAAGGTGTCTAACAGCCACAGTCTCAGTTTGTTACTAAGAAAGTTGAACTCACTTAAATAGGCTAGTATTCCCTTTCCTTTTCATTAAAAAGGTTTTTTTTTAAAATAATTTATTATTTTTGTTGTGTGTGTACTGTCAAATCTGATCTGACTGTTTCAGGAGGAGATTGCCCCCTCTTTCTCCAGTGGAGCATCTGGTGGATTCAAACTGTGAGCCTTTGGGATTCCTTTTGTTATTTTTTAATTGTTGATTTGAGTGAAAGTTTAGAGAGCAAATTAGTTTTTCATTCAACTACTAAATTGATACACATTTTGTTTTATTATATGAATCTCAATACCTGCAAAGTAATCACACTTTCCCCATGTCCTCCCTGTAATTCTGATTTCCAGCAATGCCTCTCTAGTTTCCCTTTCTTCAGTAATACTGTGCTGATGCCTCCCCCAACTGGGCACTGTCTTTCCCGTTATCCATCTTTCTATGTGCCTGTTCCCAATTTTCTGGTTTTTTCCTTCTTCTCTCCCGTCCCAAGGGACCACTTCCGTTTTTTACTGTGCATTATGCATTACTATGCATAATGAGGGCCTGTATGATGGCTTGAATTTTCCCATCCCTTATGGGAACAACAGCTACGCAAAATCTGTTTCCCTCTCCAATGAAGATAATCTACCTTTTTTTGAATGTGAACCACAGGCCACATTCCCCCAGAGACGTCTTCAAGGTAAGGAGATAGGCGCTGTCCACAGTACGTGAAGTACACTCGACCCTTGGCTGGCTGTCCAGGAGGAGGTGGCGTCCCCTCAGTCCTCTCCCAGCCAATTCCCGCCACATCACCTGTGCAGAGAGAAAGACGGTAAACAGCGTGGCTTCCTTCACATGCTCACTGCAGGCGTCCCTCACGTACGTACTTGCTTAGCAGCTACTGTGGGTTTTCTCGCTCACTTTGATTTTACAAAAGGAAAATCTGTGGTGACTCTGTACTAAGTCCACTGTTGTCATTTTTCCCCAACAACATGGACTTATTTTGTGTCTCTGTGTCACAACTTGGTCACACTTTTCCATAGCACACATATTTTAGACTGTAATGTAATGCAAGCATAACTTTGAAACTTGGGAAACCCAATTCGTGTGACTTTTTGTATTGTGAAATTGGTTTTATTATGGTAGTCTGGATCCAAACCTAAATTATCTCCAATGACTGCTTGTATAAAACCAAGTCCAATTTAAAAAGAAATCCAATTTAGAACTGGCATTTGATGCTGCATTAGCAACCATCTATTAATTTTCATAAACATTTACAGAGATTTTGGGCTTCCACTCATTCATTGTTGCACTATTCTCTCTACCCTCCTCCCAGTTTGTTCTTGTCCAAATGCCACAGTGCTTGTCAAAGCCAGTTCTGATTAATCTTCTTTGTCAGTGTATCCTTTGCCATTCCCTATCACTCCTCCCTGAGAGAGACTTCACCCTGAGTCATAAGGAAAAGGGGACGGCGTATTCTCTTAGCTACTTCCTGCTGAAAAGGGACGCTGTGGGTTTCAGGGTGAAGATCTTCTCTCACTAAGCAACCATCTTTTCATTTCTTTCTGTCCTTGGCCAAGTTAAGGATATCGTATTTAAATATACAGAGTAAGGCATTAGAATGAAATAATTTAAAATAGAAACTACTTAGAAGAAGAAATATCCTCAGGGTGTCTGAATGAATTACTATAAGTACCATTAAATTGAACTTTACTTATCCTAATAGTGAAGATAAAGATGGTAAGACATTGAGGTTTGTTGTTTGTTTTAAATAAAATAAGTTATTCTGTGGAGACAAAGATTTTTGTAACTACATTGAATAATTGTGTGAGTGAAAACAGCTGGGCAGATGTTTATGCTCTTGGGAGCATCAGGAAGGCATTTCTCACACGCCCATGGATTTAATGAAGTCACGTCTCTGCTTATCAGGGAGCAGAGGACACAAGATTCAAATTCAGAGGGAAGCAAATGTCCCAAGATGTCTGTGATGATGGAGAAATGGAAGCAGATGTGACATCCGAGCTACCTAATGAAGTGGTCTCATCAAAGGAGGGGTGTGGTATCAAAAAGGGGCAGTAATGATAAGTGTTTGGTTTTTACTAGAAGATAAATTTTCTGTTTCACATTGCTGACCTGATTTCATTTTAACCTGTTTAGACCCTGGCCTGGGACAAGACCCACACTGGCTGAATCAAGCTTTCTTCACACTTACCAGGAGAGAGAGTCACGTCTAAACGTACGCTTTTCCACTGGAGCAAGCTGGAGCCGTTGTAGTGCACAGCTCGGCCATTGCTGGGGGGAAAACGAAGGGCAGTCAAGGCAAGAGTAGTCGAGAGATGGTTAAAAGAGGGAATCGGAAGGGACCAGGTTCCAGGAACATGAGAGTAACTAAAAATAATAAGAGCTGTTCTCTTTCCCTAAGCACAAATATATTGCCACTTGGTATTTCACATGTTTTGGAGGGCAGGGATTACATTACTTTAGTATCAATACAACCACAAGTGATTTTACAGATTGAAGGAAGGGATCTAGTTTCCAATACATTTGAAAAAGAAAATAAATGGGTTCCTCTCATAGATTAACTAGGAATTTCCGGGGTACCATGTGCACCATTCATCTCCAAAACAGAAGAGAACCTATGTGATTTCCCCATTATTATCTGAAGAGTCTGTTAATTATTCTATTTTACATGGGTCACTATGAGTCAGAACCAATTTCAAGGTCTCGACTTCCCAACATCTCTGCACACCCTGTGGGTAGTGACTGTCCACTGGAATAGCATCTGGAAGTGCTGCTTTTCTGACTGTTTTAATAAAAGTCACCGTAGCCACTTACTTATGGAAAAGACAAGTGCCCACTGGGTTAGTCCAAGCCCCATCTCGTTTCTCTGCTTCTGTAGCAAAGCCAAAGGAAACAATTGGTCCAGTGTCATCATCGGTATCTCCGTAGGAAACAATTTCAATTTCCCAGTAAAAAGATGGGGCCTGAAGAAACATCATAAGCAGCAGTAAGAGGGCTCAGCCTCGGCCCTGTACTTGCTTTTGCTTTACAAATGTCAAGGCAAGAGATAAAGGATGGTGTCTCATGGTTCTCACCTGAACTGGCAGTGGTGAAGTGGCATAGATGAAGGTGCCCCGGGGCAGGCCTCCCCCAGCACTGGGGTCAGCCAGGAAGGTAACGGAAGTAAGGTGAGAGGAGAACATGCAGGCTCGAACTGGCGGGAACACTCGGGAGGGGCTCCAAGTTATCTCTTTGGGCTATAAGGGAAAGAGAGTAAAACTCTCAGTCCACAAAGTATAAACAGGAACACTCTCAGTCTCTCAAAGAAGAAAACACATTTTCATTTGATGGGATTATATGTGGGTATGTTGTTGTTGCTAAAAAGTCTATCTTTTTGATCTCTCAGTTTCACTTTGTTATCTGACCAACTGAAAGAGCCGTGCAAAAATGGAGTTCAAGGACTGTATTCACTTGACTGCTATGATGAAAACTCGTCACAATTTAGAAGTCCAACAATAAAGCCCGAGCAGGTGGACTGAGGCTCAGGTGGCACTACTGGTTGACTCGAATAGTCATTATTCACTGAGCTAAACAAGCTGGACACAAAATGGCAGAGATCACAGAAATCTAATTTTGTTTTCAGAATCTTCTAGTATATAACTTTAGAATGTTCCACAATGGTAATTGGAGATGACAAAATTTCTTAAGGGGCCCTTTTTTAATTTTTTGTTATTCTGAAATAATTTCAGATTTAGAAGTTTTAAGAAAGTAACTTCAGCACATACTTCTCCACTGGCACCAAGCTTTCTCTAGCTATATTGAAATATAATTTATACACCATACAATTCATGCTTTTAAAGTATACAATTCAACACTTTTTGGCATATCCACAGATAGGCACACTCATTGCAAGAAAGTGATTTTAGAATATTTTCATCCCCTTGAAAGAAATCCCATACACACTAGTAGTTATTTCCCATTTTCCCCTCTCCTTAATCCTGGGAAACTACTACAATCAATCTACTTTCAGTCTCCATGGATTTACCTCTCCTGGATATCCTAGATCAAGGGAGGCTATAACACATGGACTTCATATCTAGCTTCTTTCTTAAGTATCGTGTCTTTGATGCTCGCTAGTGCCATGGTATGTATCAGAACTTCCTTCCTATTCATAGTCGAATCATAGTCCATTGTGTTAACAGGTGACATGTTATTTATCCATTCATTCACTTTTTTGCTAGTATGAAAAATGCACTATGAAAACTATAGGAAACTGTAGGTTTTTTTAAACAAAGTAGTAGTTTTTTCACATTTTGCCTCATTTGTTTTTTAGTCTCTCTTGTTTCTACATATACTCTTTGAGAAATAGGCTATAACTTAAAGCTAGGAAAAAAGTCTTCAAGCACACCCATGTTTATTTTGGCTTTGTTCACAATAGCAAGGAGCTGGAAACAACCTAAGTGCCCATCAACAAACAAATAGATAGAGAAGCTGTGGTATAGCTGCACAATGGAATACTATGCTGCATTGAAAAACAAGGAACTCATGCAATATTATTCAGAATGGGTGACCCTGGAGGACATTGTGCTGAGTGAAGTATCCCAGTCACAAAAGGACAAATACTACATGGTGCCACTGTTGTGAAACAGGACTGACATCGGGGTTGGGGGGAGACTGAGAAAGATGGGTTCAATAATGTATATTGCATTGAAATAGATGAGGGAGAAAACTGTTTAAAAGGGATATGTGGTTGGGTATTTTTGTCATGACAGCAGTCCAGAGCGAAGGCTGCATAGTGGAGTGGACATGGGGGAGGGTTTGTAAAATAATGAAAGAACTTTTCTTTTACTTTTCCAAGAAGGTAGCGTACTAGGGGGAGGGTTGGGAGGGGAGAAAAGTGCAACAATGAATGAACGGAAACCCAAAGTCTCTGTACATTTTCATTGAAATTAATAATAAATTAAAAAAAAAGTTTTCTTCTTCATTATTAAGAACAACAAAAGGAGTCTCATAATAGTGAGTTCTGTTCTTTGGCAGTAATTTTTCAATACCAAGGATACCCAATCAACGTGCTCTGACAGTCTGAAACAATAACATGTTACCAGAGACCATGATCTGCAAGCAAAATGGCTTTGCAAATCCTCTCTGTTAGGAATGTGTCATACTGGTGTGCGTGTCTCAGTGACCGCTCCCTAAGGAACACATGTGGCAGCCTGGTGGGAGCTGCGACCAGCACAGGAGGGCTCACCTGTCTCCGGTCAGCCTGCAGTGGAGGAGGTGGGGGCCGAGCACAGTCCCGGTAGAGCATCCTCAGCCGCTCACACTGTACTTCCACAACCGCAAGCCGCTCTCCTGGTGAAACACACAGCAGATCACTGAAAACAGCTCCAGCCAGCCCACGTGGGCAATGCCTCCTCGGTGGCAGCGTGGGAGCAATGGCCTACACGGACATGCGATCTACATGAAATCAAAGTTTTATATACGAGCAAAGGCTGTGAAACTGCTGTATACAGCTTAGCTGCAGAGCGACGGCGCTGAGGACAGAAGACCTGCAGCCGGCCGCCTGACAGTTATTTAGAACCTGGCTCCATCTCTCCATATTTAAGTCTCACTTCCACTATGGGGTAAGTAATAGTACCTATGGTGATGATGAAAGGAATAGACAAAAGTAGAGCCCTCAGCCAAGGTCCTGAAAAGGTTAAATGGTCAGAAAATGAAAGCTATTATTCTTATCTAATAAATAAAAGCTATTTTCCTCATCTAAACTGATTTTTTAAAAAAATCTAATACCTACTGAATACCTCCTAAGAGCAAGGCCCACTGGACAGAGGGAAAAGACATAGATTGAGAGATACCCCCCACCCCCCGTCTCCCCCAGAGAACAGCATGGAAAGTTGTACTGTATGATCAGAAGACAGACAGTAGAAGCACAGGACAGAGGAGCAAGAATTTCATTCCAGAATTCACACGAGCATCATGGAGACAGAATTATGTTAGATCCTAGATACTAGAGAGGATTTTGGGAAGTGGACAGCAACAGAATTCTCTATGATTATTGTTGTCATTGTTAGTTGCTGTTGAGTATGACCCCCATAGTGATCCCATAAACAACAGACCTGAACCCTGTCCTGTCCTGCGCTATCCTCACAATTCCTGACACAGTAGAGCTCATTGCTGCAGTCACTGGGTCAATCTACCTGGTTGAATCCATCTCCACTTTTCCAAGAATGATGTCCTTCTCCTAGGAATTGGAATAGCCTCACCTAGCAACATGCCTGAAGTATGTGGGATGAAGCTTTATCATCTTCACCTCCAAGAAGCACTCTGGGTGCTCTTTCTCTAACACCTATTTGTTCTTTTGGCAGTCCATGGGATGCTCAGCGCTCTTCTCCAATGCCACAGACACAATCCATACTGAAGGCTTTGACCTGCAACAAGTGCTTCAAGTCCTCCCCACTCTCAGGAAGCAAGGCTGTGTCACCTGCATAACGCAGGTTATTGAGCTCGAATTAAAGAACAAAACGTGAAGCTCTCACTCTGCATTTCTCAAGCTTGAGAGAAGTGAAAAACAAATTTAAGCCTCAAGGTGCTATATTGAAAGAGTCTGTGGGCAATACGTTGAATGATACAAGAAGCATCAAAAGAAGATGTAGGGACTACACAAAGTCACTGTACCAAAAAGAATTTCAGGAAGTACCATATGAACAGGAGCCAATGGTATTGAAAGGAGAAGTTGAAGCTTCACTGAAGGCAAAGACTCACTGATATGTTTCAACCGAAAGATGCAGCCCTGGATGCACTCACCAGTCTATGCCAGGACATTGAGAGAACAGTTGTCTGGCTGACTGACCAGAAGAGAGGAAGAGATTCATATTTCTTTCTATTCCCAAGAAAGGTGATCCAACACAACACGTAAACTATCAAACAATATCATTAATGTCACATGCAGGAGAAATACTGTGGAAGATCATTCAAAACAAGCTTGGACAGTACACAGATAGGGAACTGCTAGAAGTTCAAGTGGGATTTAGAAGAGGTCATAGCACCAGGCATATCACTGGCTGAAAGTAAAGAATACCAGAAGAATGTCTATTTTTATGCTTTATTGACAATGCAAAGGTATTTGACTGTGTGGAGCATAACAAGTTATAGCTAACACTGAGAAGACAGGGAATCTCAGAACACATAACAGTGCCCAAATGACACCTGGATCTTGACCAACAGGCTGTTGCGGGAACAGAGTATGAGAACATTGTTGTTGTTGTTGTTGCTGTGTACTGTCAAGTCGGAGCCAGCCCATAGCTGACCCTCTGGTGGGTTTTCAGAGGCAGTCAATCACATGGGAGGAGACTGCCCATCCCTCTCCCATGGAGCGGCTGGTGGCCTTGAACGGCATGCCTTCGGGATTGCAGTGCAGCTTCTTTGCCATTAGGCCACCAGAGGGCCATTACATGGTTTAAAATTAATTGAGGTGTGCATTAGAATTGTATCCTCTCTATCTACACATGTTCAATGCATTAGAATTGTATCCTCTCTATCTACACATGTTCAATCTGTAAGCTGAGCAAATTATTCCAGAAACTGGACTCTAGGAAGAAGAATGTGGCATCAAGATTGGGTCTATGATTAGTTAAGTGCAAAGCATCTGAGGAATATCTTGTACTATATGCAAAAATTAACTCTGGCAACCACTATGGAAGGCGGTTTAGCAATTTCTCAAAAAGATGGAATTATAAATACCATCTGACCCAGCAATGCCACAGCTAGGACCATACTATAAAGAAACCAGACCTACCATCCAAACAGATGTATGCATACTCATGTTTATGGCTGCATTATTCACAATAGCAAAGAAATGGACACAACTCAAGAGTTTATCAATAAATGAATGGATAAAAAAGCTCTAGTATATTCATACATGGAATACTATGCGGCACTGAAAAACAAACTTGTAAACATTACACAACATGGGTGACACTGGAGGACATTATGCTGAGTGAAATATCTCAGTCAGAAAAGGACAAATACTACATAGAACCACTGTTATAAAGCAGGACTAAAACGGGGGATTGGGAGGAGGATAGGTTAAGAGTGCACAGATAATGGGTTCAACAATGTATACTGCATTGAAACAGATGAGGGAGAAGACTGTTTAAAAGGGATATCTGACTAGGTATTTTAGTCATGACAGGAGTCTAGAGCGAAGGCAACATGGTGGAGTGGACCTAGGGGAGGGTTTGTAAAACAATGAAAGAATTTTTATTTACTTTTCCAAGAGGGTGGTGTACTAGCGGGGAGGGTTGGGAGGGGAGTAAAGTGCAACAATGAATGAATGGAAAT